CCTTATTGTGTTCTATTTTTAATCTAAAATTAATGTCAAATTTGCGTACAATTTATTTAAACGTCTCGACATCGTTCGCTGCGGTCAATATTATATTAGCGTAATTTCCATAAGCAGCTTCCTTAGTTAAAGAAGCTGTAAACATCGGCGAAACATCATTGCATCCTCGTTATCTATTTTATATCTGACACTAGTTTCTTTATTCATGAGCCATATTTATTTATATTATTGTCATTACGTAATGTGACGCGAGGTTGGCTTATCGGAATGCGCTTGTGTGATACGCGTATAATGATACACACACAGTGAAGAAATATACACAGGGTCTGTGCTTTACATGATAATCACAGTTAGATTATTGGGCGCCATGTTAGCATTTTTTTTCCAGACGAGCAATTAAGTTTCCGAAGAAATCAAAATTTCCTTGTAATCCGAAAACAATTGCATAATTCCTTTATGAGCGATCGTCTGTTGAACATTTCCTTGTATATTATCTCTTTCGTTGTCAACGCCACGAATGTCAATTCCAATATCTAGAATCTTTAATGATCCATCCTGTTAATTATTTTCTCAGTTGACTGCACGTGGATGCGAGAAATGAAAGTCGCGTCATGCCCTATTTTCACCCTCTAATAAATTACAATTTCTATAATGTATGACATAATTATATACATTTACGCACAAGTAAGTCAATAATAACGAATAGATTTCCAGGAAGGGAACATCAGGCAAAGGTGCAGTGAAGTCAACGAGGTACGCGCTGGATTAAGAAATCATGAAACTTGGTAGAGTTTCCGGCAAATACATTTTTAAACTGAGAAAATTGAACAGACGGAGTTAACGGCGATCTGAAATGCCCTTATTCGATATTTTAACCTATGTACTTGTGACAACTACACTTCGACCATCGACACGTGTCGAGACTTTTGAAAAGTGCGCATGCCCTTACGCAGCGACTTCAAGTATCTACATATGAAACAAGTGCACGTCGACACGTATCCATACTTTTGAAAACCGCGCTTTCCATAAAAGTATACCAACCATCGACAGGTATCGACATTATTAAAAACCCTTGCTCGATGCTTACACGTAACAAGTGCGCATTAACCATCGACATACATCGAGACTTTTGGAAAGTGCACATGCCCTTACCCAGCGACTTCGTGTACCTACATATGAAACAAATGCGCATCGGCCACCGGTACATATCGACACTTTTGGAAAGTAGGCCCGGAGAAAAGAGAGTGGATGTTGCCGAATGCTCGGAATACATATTATCGAGGTCGTTCGGGTTGCCCAGGTTTGATCGAGCCGGGTGGTCCCGGGGTAATTAAAGCCCGAGAGTTGGCGGAAAGATGAGAAGTTAAAGGCAATCGCGCAATACACGGCGCATTATCTTGTACGCGTTATTTACATGCTCTATCGTCCGAGACCTTTGCACGGCGTTTCTACTCCTGCGGTACACAGACCGCTGGGAAATAATCGATACCCCTCGCTTCTTCCTCGCTCTTGATCTCTCCACTTTGGCCTAATTCTCCTTCCCGATCTCTCGGCCGAATTTCTCTTTTTCCTCCGAAGAGCTTCTACGCCGGGAAAACGGGAGACGCCTAGACTGGTAGATGCACAAGAAGCGATCCACATTCCCGATTATTTTCACCATAAATAGGAATAGCTGACCCTTACCGTCGGCACTTATTTCTAGACACATATAAACATCTTTTAATCAAATATAATTACTGCTAACTCAAAAATATTCAATATCCCGTACAATATTATATCGTATATTCCGATTTCTCCCTCGACGCGGGTTCGTTATAGCGTGGATGTACGCGTAACATGCGAGCTCGAAGATAACCATGCGCAGTGATAACGGATAAGCATTAGTCACTTATTTGTTTTATATCTTAAGATCCCACAGTGGCCTAATTCTTTGTCTGGTGGCTCCCTACCGAATTTCTCTTTTTCCTCGACGAGCCTCGCCGGTCAAAGAACGGAAACGGCCTTGGCTCAGAAATACGTGGGAAACAATGGCCATTACTAACATTATTAACATGGATATCTGTTAGTAGCATGATATATATTTATTATGCTACTTAAGCATCGTTTCGTAGCATTATTTGAGGCACCGGTTTTTTACAGTACAGTTCTTTCGGCTGCAGATTAATCGTCCCCTGACCTACTGTTCCAATTGAGTCGACTCGGTGAGTGAATTATAGGCACGGATTTAAACAGGCGATATCAATCTTTGTCTAGGTGTGGGAAGATCCGAGGTGAGCTCTCCTCGTCTAATGTAAGGTGGAAGGTGGAGGACGTCATAGGCAGGAAGAGACGTTAAGGTCACTGACCGGGAACCACGTGCAATAGTCAGTATGCCATTCCCTGCACCACGCAGACGTGCCAAGGACGTAACACTAATGCATCTCAGCTTTCTCTTCTTTTTCCGAGTCATCCGTACTTACGTAATCCTCTGGCCGGCTGCTTCGACGAGGAAAGCATCTTTTCTGGAACGTTGATCCGAACCTCCGGGATGGACCCTCCAATCGCCTCTGGAGGTCTTTGACTGCCCCATTTAAATCGACACGTAAGCGCTCGCTTTATTGTTAGCCTTTCACCATTGAATAACGATTTACACTTTTCTCTTTTATTTGAATAATAAACGATACGAAAGACAAGGTGATTTATTATACATATCATTTTTACGGCCATGTCTTATGTCGGTACACCATTTCATACGTGTCTATTCTTTTAGGCTTCCTTCTCGTCGGATTGCACAAACTGCACACATGTCTCTTTTCGCAGGGAAGAAGGGCCACGTCTGGACGGGCGCAAATTTTGTTCCACTTGTATGGATCGGACCGATCAAGGTTCGAGTTCTCCAACAATGATATCGACTTTATTACTTTTTAATCATTTCGTGTACACGATGCTAACTGTACTTTGTTAAGAAGATTGTCTGCAAGGGCGAATACTCGCAGGTATCAAGTTTTTTTTTTTTTTAAGGAATTCAGAGGAAATATAAATTGGATATTTATTACTCCTCTTTAATTTCATGTGTGCAGTGCTGTCTATGCTTTCCTGAGAGGAAGACGGCAACAGCGAAAGCTTGCCGGTATCTTCATTATTTTCAACAGATTTTCCCACGAATGCGAAAGGAACTTAAATTGTATGTTCATTACTCTACTTAATTTTCTTCCACACAATATCATCTACACTTTCTTAAGAAATTATCTGCAGGAGTAAAAGGTTCCTTCTTCTCGCGATATTCAACGAGTATCTCGACGAATTCAGAAGGAACTTAAATTGGACCCATCAATCCACGATAAAGAGGACGTCCCTGGCATCTTAAATTGTATGTTTATTACTCTACTTAATTTCCTTTCACACAATACCGTCTACACTTTCTTAAGAAATTATCTCCAGGAGTGAAAGGTTGCTTCTTCTCACGATATTCAACAAGTTTCACGACGAATTCAGAAGGAACTTAAATTGGATCCATCAATCCACGATAAAGAGGACGTCCCTGGCATCCAATTGGTCGATTCCTGTAAGTCTTCGATCTTTGTCTTGCGTAAGAGCGGCCACAAGTATACCAGGCCACGCGTAATATCTTAACGCTGCGGGAGTTGCGCAACGCTCGGTGTAATTTATCCTGCCATCCACAACAATCTTGACGCAACCAAAGAGTCGACGACGTCTATTATTGATCGTCGGAGCGCTTAGGTCAACGAACGCCACGTGCACTTGGTCAAAATAGTTTTCTCCGGGCCTCTTCCTGAAAAGCGATTTCGTCCCGGCACCGAATCTCGAGACCGGAATAAAGAAACTTTCCAACGGTCGTCGCTTCACGCGTTTATTTCATTCCGCTTGACTCTGGAGTACACTTCGTTATAATTTTTTCGACGCCCATATAAAATCTCGACACTTATAACACTATTAGAATATACGATAATAGGTAATACAGTATTAATTTAAATCAACGAACGGTAATGCATCTTAAATCGTAACAATTCAAGTCAACAAGGTCATTGTATACAACGTAAAATAGATCCTTGCACTTAAGGATGTTTCTCGAGCTTACTTTTTTCTTAATAAGACGAGCTAGAAACCACAATGAACGATCGTAGATGCACGTTAGGGCATTTTTACGACTCGATACCGTTTATCGTACAGCGTTAAAAATCGTTCCGTAAAAAATATCCACCCGAGCGCGTACCGATGTTTCTCAACAAATTACTCTTATATAGTATGAGAAATCAAGGTCATAATCGTTTTGTCTATAAAAACAACCTCGTATATTAGATACAATTATACTCAGACCCGATTCTCTAAGCGATTGTGACTGTGACTTCTTATATTACAACAGAATTGATAAAGTTAATGAAAAGCTCCGATTCCTATGTCCCGTTTCAAGGAATCGATGTAATTAAAATATAACGATCTTATTCTTTGGCACGGAGCAGTTTCAATACATTTTACTGATCCAATCCTAGTAACTTTTTGATAGTGACTCAGTTTGATTCGCAGCGTCTTAATCCTAACATCAACGATTTCTGTAATACTTGATTTCCACTCCATATCGTTATTTTGAGTGGCCTACTCGTATATACGTTACTGTGCAAATCAATGTATGATGATAATTAAAGGAAGAACCTCCTTCAGAGTATAAGAAATATCACAGGAAAAAGAAATATCTCAAGTATTCACTTAATTCGTCGTCTAAGGAAAATTGTGCGATCCCTTGGAATGTAAATTAATGACTAACTTTAAACCTATCTTATTTTGTCATTTATGTTATATCGTGCAATTGCTTCCTTACTTATTTCGCATTCGCGTTTAATCGAACTTATCATAACTCGCTAAGAGCAGTAATTACCCCGTACCTCAGCAATATACTATAAAAATACTGAGACGTTCCGAAGGTTGACCCTTAACCGTAATTTTGCACCTTGTTTAATTTTAGATGACGTCACTCTTTATAAGAGCTTATGTCTTATCAACCGTGAATACCGATTTTCAAGCTACTTGTTCGTATTTAGCTTTATTTATGCTGCTGGCAAGGCAGCACGATAAGAAGACTCCAACCAGCGGAAATCCTGCAATGGCTACTGCACATGCAGCTGTTAGGCTGATGTTACTGTTAATAAAGTCCACGACACGATTGTAGCACCCCTGAAAAATTTGATATCACTGTTGTTAACTTAATGCCGAAATTAAGATATCTTTCATTTTCAGATATATTGAATTACCTGGGTGTAAATGTCATTCACGTTAAGAGTATCGCATTGGTCGTTTAGCACTTTGCAGCAAGATTTCGGTATTTCTTTTGGAGGAGTCAATGTTGCCCAGTCTGTGTAGTCCCTGTTGCCGCAACAATGAAGCTGGAAGGTATAATAATCGGTGTACCTTATTATTTTTTCACGGAGTCAGTACACCTCAGTAAGGGTCTAACATTATCTTATTCAAAATTATTGCAAAGTCTTACAGTCGACTGAATGGTGTCCACGTGGACGCTCTTGGAATGATTTTTTCCGTAAACGGCGAGGCTTTCGTTCAATGCTTGATCAAATCCTTCAGTCAAAGAGTTGCGGTAAGCGTAAATGGACGCTCCGGCACCGATTTCCAAAAGTGTCACGACAGCAAGAAATGCACCGTACTATCGAGAGAGAAATCGACGAATAAGAGGTAAAATCCGACATTATGTATGACATTCATTATAAATTCAACCATGGGTAAACGTATTAAAATTTTAAAAATCTCTTACAAATCCAGTATACATGCAGTCGAAGTTCCTGCGAGACATATTGTTTCGAAATTTCGTATACAACTGCGTGCAGGATTTTGGAGCACAAATATAGGAATTTCATAAGGCATGTAATTATCGAAACCTTTTGCATGGCAATTGTTGATCACATCCGTGAGAATTCATAGGCAAGTGAGTACAAAGGTACATAATCTGGTATACGACTGTCATAAGACATGTATACGAAAATTCGAATTCTTTTGTATACTATTTTTTAATTACACGTACCGAATTGTATTTTAATAATAGCGCATTTTAACGCGTTCATTAACGTTTATATTAATTTAATTTCTCATCTGACTACTTTGTTTAAAATTTTGAATACTCTCGTATGAATTCCCACGTAGAAATGGTGTTCTTCAAAATGTCGAAAAATGAAAGCGTTCAAAGTATAGAAATATTTCTTCTGTATGTATCGTTTACAGTAGCTGCTCACCAGGTAAAGCAGAGCGGGGTGTCCACGAGCTGTGCAGCATCCAGCGAGAGTGGCGATAAGAGCGATCCCTGCACCGAAACACGCCAAGGCGAGCAATGCAGCCTTTCCTCCTTCCGTGTTCATCTCAACATAATCCTGAAGCTGCGTACGAATCCATATTCCAGCATACAACAGCAATATTCCAATGGGCTGAAATCATTAAAGGGGAAATAATTTTCCAAAGTACCGGTAAGAAGGAAAGAAAAGAAAAGAAAAGAAAAATGTATATACATACAACCCTGTCTCGAAAATTTTTCTGTATTACGTAACGAAAGCCCTGTTCTTGTGCGGCTTTAAAGTTCTGGTTAAGAATTCTTTTTGTCTCGCAGAGCAACAGTTGGCTGGGTCGCAGGCGTCGCCGCAGGTGCAACTATAATGAGTGACAATAATGTCAAGTTCACGAGTGCTCACCCAGAACGTGATGTTGAAGAGCATCAGCACTATCTTCAGGCACGCCGTGGAAGGCAGGACTCGCAGAAATTTCCCCATTTTTCAGAAGTCGGAATTTCCGCAGCCAGGACCGAAGGGGCACGTTCAAAACACTGCGTGAACTACGTCTTCAGGGGCCTATCGATTTGCCCAGGTCCACTTACTGGCCAGGTTCTCCCTCTCTAGGCGCATGCGTTGCCCCTTTGGTGACATTCCGCGCAAATGTGAATAGAATGGAAAGTAAAAAAAAACTTAGGAAATAATTCCACCTGTAATGGCATCGGCTAAAAATGTATCTACCCGAAAAGCGACCACCTTCGACGATCGAACTAACTGATTTACGGTTCAATCCGTCCACGATGCTCTAGGAAACACCCCAAAGACTGGCCTCGAAGAGAGGGGGGAAAATGAACGCAAAAAGCTCGATCTCATTCGTAATCCTTTATGCAGTTTTATTGACTATCCTAGTACATTAAGGTTTAATTGTTGCGCGGGTAAAAAATGACTTTGTGAGACTGTCGGCTACAACACTTGTCAGCCAAATCGCGTCCGATTGGGGACAAGAGTGAACTGAAAATGCGATAGGGTCGTTAGCTTTTTGGCACTTCGCTAATTGAAATCATCGATTCGCTCTACCGACACTTTCCCAGATCCTACGTATACGAATAGCAACTAATTAGTCCCTTGTGACTTCCCATTGTCGATAATGTCTCTTCCTGATATCAAAAAACTCGGTAGAGTTTCGGGCCAAGTACTTTTTAAACGAAGCGAGCGCTACCGAGTATCTTTACGCCAAAGTTCGGTATATCCGCCCGGATCAACCTCAAGATTCCTCTGAATTCCTTCGTTTCAACGTCAAGACATATTTTAAAAGGGGGTTTATGGAGTTCTCTACTTCGCGTTTATTGCGTGATGATGCGGCGAGGTGATCGGATCGATGTTCTTAGTGTAGTTTAAGAGAACGCCAGGCCATGTGACGTTGTTGTCACCGGAAACGACCGATTGTCGAACCCGAGCCGGGGACCTTCTCGTTCTCCAGGACTTTTCGATATTATCCTTCTCGTTGATAGCCTCGTCAAAGCCACTGTCAATGTTATTGTTGTTTCCCCACTCGAAAGTATCCTCGATCTCCACCTCCAAGGTCTGTTCCGTGCCATTCTCCATCTCTCCGCTCTCGTTGTCCACATTTAGACTGAGATTTCCAAGATCCACGATCGGCCAGCTGGGCTGAACGTCGTCAAATTTGTCCTCAGAGTCCGGATATCGGTCCGTGGTGTATCCGAAATCGGGCTCCTCGTACCGATTGTTGTTCTCAAACCGATCCTGGAAGGAACCTCGATCACCGCCCAAAATGGGCACCGATCTGACCTCCCACTCCACCTGCTCGTCACTGATGACAGATCCCTCTTCCTGGTCGCTTCCTCTTCCCGGGTCCTTCCTGCTGCTCCTGATCTCACCAACCGTCTTGAAGTAGATGCTGTGGTCGTACCTGTACGTTTCCAGACAAGTGCTGTCCAAGTCACCGTTCGACTGGTAGTTGAAGGTTCCGCAACAGTTGATCTTGGTCTCTTCTGGGCGAGACTTTCTCCGGTGGGACCTCTTCATGGTGTGGAAATGCGGACTCCAGGACGGGTCGTCGATCACCAGCTTGTTCGAGGAGATGCTCCACCGGGATTCTTGCTCCTCTTGCATCGTTAGGCGACCTCGGGACAGTCTTTGCGACCTTAACCTGTTGTAACCTCGCGCCAAGGCCGCCCAACGTTCTATCCTCTGGAAGACGTACTCCGTTTCCTCGTTCCACCACTCGGAGAGACCTTTTTGCAAGGATGATCCGAGGTCCTCCGTGACGGCCACTGCCATCCTGACGCGTTTTGCCAAATTCTGGCGAATGATGGGGGATGGGGATGAATGGGGCCTTAGTGTAATTATTGGGAAGGTAATGCGATGAAGGGCGCAGCGAAAGTACGAACCGATACTCGGCTCTCTCGATTTATAGCTTACCCTGGAAGCACCGCAAACGCCGAAGCCAAGTTGGAATCCTCGGTGAAGTAATCCCCGATGACCATGACCTCTCTGTCTCTGGTTCACCAATAAGGTGGATATAGGTATAGCTTTATAGAGCGCAAAGTTGCGAGGTCGACTCTTCCGGAATTAGCCGATTAGAATTTAGCGACCGACGTTCGCCTGAAATTCGGAAATTTAGGGATCATCGCGTTAGAGGGGTCTATTGTATCACTATTTCCAATTCTTTCTATATCATCACGTGATAGAATAATTGGGTTTCGAGAGGATTGATTGCCGCGTTGGGGTTTCAGGACGTAGGTGGGACTAAAGACTGCTGGGCTTGCCTTTGCGTGACGGGCCGCGGTTTGCTTTTGCTACAGAAGAATAATTATCCTAATAATTGAACAGACAATTCTAAGTGCTACCCGTTAATTAGATTTCCCCCTATGCCCTGTAATGTAACTATGACGTGCGAATGAAAATCGCTGATGAGAATTTATATTTCGTAATACCCCCAACCTGCATAACTTATTCGTCATCGACTTACTAAAATCGTTGTTAAAAAATTCGATAATAATTGAAAGATTACAATATCGTTATAATTATATGAGTATTAGTCTGAGGAATAAGTTCGCGCGGTTGTTCTTCGTTTAAAAAAAAAGTTTCAGTTAATGTCACTAGATGCTCCTGGTAGAAAGATTTCAGGGTGTCATTAGTGAGAAAGTCTGGTTAATATGAATAGAAAGTTTTATCTACTGAAGTCTAGTTAAATATATATTTTAATGTGATTTCCAAACCACTAGATAAATTTTTAGTTAAGAATTCTTGTTCTTCTACTCAGAAAGTCTATTTGGATTTATCAGAAAGAGTATTGCCGCAACCAGATAATATTTTACTACTAATATCTAATACTTTTAACCAGAAAAATAATGAGGGCATATTAATAACCAAAATTCCGGCTATTTTAACTGGACCTCCTTTGAGTGTTGAACAAAACGAACGAATAACCCCACGAACTTAGATATGCCTCGATCCATTATATGGCATTCTATGACCCCAACGTGTTAAATTTAACAAATTTAAATTTATCCCGTCTACTCGCCATTCGCGGTAAGGTAATCTTAAATGACGACGATGTTTGTATCTATAATTGTATCGATAATTTCTCGACCAGAGATACAGGTTCAAATTGCAGAATCGCCTACGTAAACCGGCAACCGAGTAATCCCGATTGTTCGAAAGTGTAGGAGAAAGAAATTGCCCGAGCACCGGCAACAAAGTTACCCCAGCTGCCAATCATCGAGCCCACCACGGAATATCGAATGGCTAAGGTTGTGGGCTGAAGGTGGGAAAATTGTTTATCGTCTTCGAGGTGGCGAGAATTAAAATTCAAGCTCCATATTCTCCGGGGAACGGGCGTACTGGGTATAAAAGCGTCGCAAGATTCCGATCATCGGTGCATTCATCCATCGGTCCTTGGCCACCCTGTATCTAAGGTAAGGAGCCTGCAAAGTGTTCTTCGAGTTTCCGTTGAATTTCTCAAAAATCCCTTTTCAAGAAATTGTATTGGATACTAAGAAAAGAAGTCACAAAGGATCTCGTTCAACCGCCTGAGATTTGTCTCGCGCCTCTGGAGACTCGCATTTAACGTTAATATATAACATTTAAGTAAGTTATTTCCTCTGCGTTTTAATAATAATTCTGGAATATATGTCACAGGGTATGAAGACATCGTATTTTTAAAGGAAAATCAGTAAATGACGGTGATTTCTTAATAAACTAGACTTTTTGTGCAGTAAAAGGGTCACAGGCCGCCATATTGGATGGCGGAGTTTGAGGGGAAAGTGGTTACTTCTTGTACTGATTTTTTTAGGGATTCTGTGTTTTCTGTCACTAGTGACAGGTGAAGAACTCGAGAGGCTGTTCGAAATAACCTGGAACTTATCCATCTTGTAAGATTTGAAATCTAGTCTGCACATATGAACCTGGCATCTGCAATTTTTGGCGCAATGGCGGTCCTGTGGATGTTGTGCGGCCAATGCATAGCAGCTCCCGAATTCTCAAGCAACGTCCACCACAGACTCCACAGTGGACCACTGTCTCGAAGGTGAGAAAGTGAGGTGTCAAAATTAAATACGTGTTAAGTTGAAAATTGAATATATGCCAAATATCTGCGTGGCTTCAAGGTACTCCTTCGAGGACCTCCTGGCCGAGGGCGAAGACAACACGGAGGTCGATAAGAGACAACAGCTCGACGATTACGGCCACATGAGATTTGGAAAACGCGACCAATTCGACGACTATGGCCACATGAGATTCGGCCGAGGACACGAGTAAACGACTGCGACCGTAGAATGCGCTTTTACCTTAAATTTCCTTTACGTTTACCTTATGGACACTCTTCATTGTCTGTATAAAATCAAACTAATATATTTTACACTGTGACCTATCATTTCTGTACGTTTACATAAGCCTCAATTCTGATTAAGAGATTCATTAAGATTCTTCAAATTGTTTAAAACTCTTTTAGATCCTTTATTTAAGGTTCTAATAAATAAAACGTCTCAAAGTGTTACCGCTGTCGGGGACGAATGGGAGAGCATTGAAGAGAAATTTACATGAGAGGAAATTAATAAACAAGGCATACGAGACGCGGAGAAGCTTTCGAGATTACCTCTGAGTGAAATAGGACGTAATATAGACATCGAATGTCTCCTCTGATAATAAGAATGTGGCCTAGTGCTCCTTATTTAATCTAATTTTGACGAAGGCATTCGGGTCGGTGTAACGCTTCAAAATCGGGGAATAAGACACGTGACGTTGCATTTTCAAAGCTGCTAATTTGTCATGTATCTTGAAATCGTCGTCTAAAAATGTCGATCCTGCGTTGCTTTCGTCGAGGGCCTTATCACTGTAGCCGATAGTGCGACGATTAAAAATCCATGGTGCATCCGGAGGTAGAGGGGGCCAAGGTTTCATGGGTTTATGCAGCTTGTAATCTCGGTCATACGTGGTTCGATAATCGGTACATGCCGTGTCTTTTGGATACGGCTGGGTGTCGGTAAACTTTCGATTTTTATCCCTGAAAATTGAAATCTACTTCTATTACGTGAAAATTCGCGCGTGGCCATCGAGCGCGTCGAAAGTGAAACTTCTAAATTAATAAGAATTATTCGATATTAATTGTTTTTAATTATTTAATCACGCTTTCAAAAAATCCCCCCACGCGTTCGGACACTGATTACTTTAGGACGTAATTATTTTTATTTTCTATCTGTATTAGTTTCATTTCATTCAAAATGTCAAATAATCAACTGAGGGAGTAGCACGATAACTATAACACTAACGCTGTCGAAGATTGGGCAAATTATCTCAAAATTAATTGTAATAAAATTAATAAGTAATTTACTACAGTAAAATGTGTTTCACTTTACAAAACGCGCTCCTTTCATTACGAATTTATCCTCATTGTAAGAAGTTTCACTTCGGGAGATTAATTTCCATACGCGAAGATGTTTTAAATCGCTTTGTGAACATGTCAAGAACCTTGAAATTATATGTTCGGTTAGGAAACGCACACTGCCGACGGGGATAAACGTAAGTGAGGGCAAGCAAGGTATTTCTCATTATCGAAAATCTGAGCGAGTGCCTCATGAGTGACCGAGACACCTGTCGCACTTTCTTCCGGGCCGAGTCTTCGATACGACGACAGGTGGAGGTGACCATTGCGTGGTGTGAAATTTTTATTGTCACGAGGTTCTGCCAGCCTGTACTTTTCCCTGCAAAAACTTTCCCTTTAGACAGGTGACACGTGCGAGATAATTGTTATAAATATCGCACGTTGAGTATAATAAGCTATTCAGAAACTTATAGCAGTTTTTGCTGTCTAAAATATGACACTTCATTTTCAAATAGTTTTTCCTTTACGGTCCTTGTATACTATTTTAAATAATTATGTTTTTGATACTACATCTTTTTTTTCAAAATGGCCGTGCTATTTTCAACTCGAATAAGATAATGGCTCGAATCCATCATTTCATGAAACAGGAATTAATATTTCGTGCACAATTATGTTTATCTACATGTAGAGCGAATTCTGCGCTTTGAAATTGTATATAAGATGGACTTAAAGGAGAAATAACTTTATTTTATATAAAGGGTTAAATCTTAAATATAAAAAACTAGCTTCTGGACAACCTAATATTTGAGATTAACTTCGAGGTACTTACCAATCATGTATCAACACTTTACCGTGATAAATTGGCTTTGTTGCAGACAGAAATCGTTCGACATTTTTGGGTTCGTTTCCGAGGGGAGGAAACACTGACTGGAAAATGATTTCGCACTCGTAGAGTAATCGAGGTGCAATAGAGTATTATGCAATAGGTAAGCGAACATACATTTACGGATACTTTTTTGTTCTCCTTCGTTGAAGCTTTGCGGTAAACCATTTTTCTGTAAACTGTTTTAAAGAGGATTAAAAAAATATTCTTCTAATACGTATAAGAAGTCGGATTCGATTTGAAACGAGCAGCTGATAATTTTAATACTCTACCGCTCAACTGTTTTTTTAGATAGCTTCAAGTAAATTACGTCAAATATCTGCCACGTGTCTTTCGAAAGCATATGCAGATATTTTGAAAAAGCTGCAAGTATCTTGTGGATTTTGTGCAGTTTTTGTGGTTTTTTAGACTCACATGATGCAAAGCGAGGTGACATCCAAATACTTAGGAAGAAATTTAATATCTCAGGAGGGCGAGGAAGAGATCAATCAAGAAGAATATTTTTCTGGAAAGGATCCTGAAGAAAAATATCCTCTTCAAGACATACTCGCAAATGAACGACGGACATACACCGCTGAACAAGAATATGTTTACAAGATATACAATGACATCTTGGGATTCTTCGTAATCGAGTAAATTATTATAATTAATTTCTAGCAGTAACAGTAACGAAAACTATTATGCAAATTGTTTTAATACTGAGACACAAAAATTAATGTTAACACCCGTAAAAAGAAAGGTTTTACCTTTCAAATCGAACTCTTTTTATAACATGCGAATTTACATACTATCATAATAAGTTACGATAAGAAGTTTCACTTGAAAAAGGTGGGAAAGCAAACTACTGCGAAAAACGGTGATTCCGAAAGACTCGCAAGCAGAACTTGGCGAAAACGAGAAGGGCGAAGAAGACTCCATGTATGAATATTTTCTGGACAAGTCTCAAGTAAGAAAATATTTTCTAAAGATCCTCCGCACTTTCGTCCAAAGTAAAAGCCTTTATTCATTTCAGGAAGCATGTGAGAAATTGAAGCTGCGCGACGAACAAGCTGAAGTTGAATTTATAAATAACAATACATACTCTGGCAGAATTAGTAGAAAAATGATGGAAGGCGATGGTATCTACACTTGGCGAGAGGGTGTATCGTACAAAGTAATTAAACAAATTATTAATAGCACCGAATTCTTCACTATTAAAAATATCTATCCGAAGTATAGTGCTGTACGTAGTCGAAGTTTTTCCAAGATACGATATTTCATCATCCTATCGTTTGGTTTACATTTTTTAATACCTTTGTATGAATTCTCACGTAGAAATGTTCTTGGAAATTAATTTACTTGTTCGTCCCATTTTCATTTCGGTGTCTCTGGTTTTAGTATCCACTTGTATTCGAAAGTGTTCGAAATATCGATACATTTTAAGTGTTCACTAAAACGATTAATTAAATCTGACAGCAATTTATCATAAATAGGGGAAATTCGAAGCGAACCAAATGACCGGCGAAGGGTTTCTGGAATGGAAAGACGACAGATGGTACGAGGGAGAAATTCTCAATGGGTATCGCCATGGTAAAGGTACCATGGTGGACAGAGATTACCATCGTCTCTATATCGGCGAGTGGTACTTGGGACGGAAACACGGAAAAGGGTGAACGTCCAGACTTCAACATTTTTAAAGGCGAGATTAAAGTTTGGAGATGTTGAGAGTAAATGACCTCTTCTGCCAATGAAATCAATATATTACTTTGACAGTTATTGTCGCTACGAGAAGGGCGACACGTACGATGGTGATTGGGTTTCCGGGAAGAGGGAGGGAGCCGGACTTCGAATATATCCCAGTGGTGCAAGATACGTTGGTCAATGGAAAAATAATTTCCGACATGGGATTGGCACCATGGCATGGCCCAATGGTGACGTTTATCGCGGCGAATGGAAGGACGGTGAAATGCATGGGTAATTTATTTTTAAGCTCATATTTAAATACATTTGTGCTCCACAACCACATAAAGGACCGGTCGCCTCATTATTCAAGTTAAAATCTTTAATCGAAGATTACTTAACGCGTGATTAGTATTAAACGCCCGATTACTTAACAGTGGATGTTAATCCTCGGTTAGAATAATCTTCATCGGTGCGACATGAATTTTAGTAATCCGAGATCAATTAATCCTAGTTAAAGAATTTCACGGTAATCACGGTTAACCGGCCGAAAAAGACAGAACAGAATTGCTGGAAATACTAACTTATAGGGAATAGAATTATATAATACAATATAGAGCGGAATAAAGTGAACATTAATAACAAAGTTAACCATTAAACGACGACATGGTCGTTACTGTTAATTCATTACCGCATAGACGTATCATTCAATGAGGATAATATTATTGCCCGACCATTCGACACTTTGAATTTTAGATCAGCGATTTAATTAATTCGCAGGTACGGCGAGTACATGTGGAGAAGTTTTTTCAACAAAGAGCTGTGCTGGCCACAAGAAACCTGCTATATAGGCGAGTGGCAAAGCGGAATGCGGCATGGAAAAGGTCAGTGGTTTTTTTCTTTTTTTCTTCCTTTTTTCATGAGCTTGTCTTCGGTGATCCTTCGCAATCTTTACGACAGCATTATTTGTTTAAACAGGTTTATTGAAATTGGGATCCCCAGGAGGAGCGAAATTTTCTGGTGAATGGAAGGAAGACGCGAAGCACGGATACGGATTGATAATAGGTCCTGGAAATGCTATTTTATCGCTTTTCAAGACTATTCATTATTTATTTACTTAAATATATCTACATGTTGCGTTTATACAGGCAACAATGGTGCTTTTACCGAAGCCGATCCTTTGTTTCTGGAAAACGCGATTGTTCCGCTAGAGTCCAGCAACGAGTCCTCGGCAAGGAAACTTGACAACGATCGAGCGACAATAGACACTATTTCCCCATCCGAGTACGACGGTGTATAGTAAGTCCTTGCAAAAATGTTGCAAAGTCGTGAGGCTGCGAGTAAAGAAAGCGTTTTGCAGCTTTGAACCCGAGCCAAGGAGAATGCCCGATCCACGTGCAACGACGGTTTTGAAAGCGGAACAATGTCCACTACTGTGGTTTCATGTTTATCGCTTATTGGAGCCTGAATACATTTGGCCTCTGTCCCTTTGTACATCGTCGTCAGGAAAATGTCACGTTTGCGACAGCGATTCGTGCATTTGTCGCGTCCCGGCCGACAAAGGTATATTTGAAGAATTCCTTGACTACCCGAGTAGAAATTTCAAACATTAGTATTTGCGCACACTGATAAAACTGGTCATATAAATTCACATGCTCAATCCTTGACTATTTTGTTGATGTTAACGAAACATTCGGTTGTCCATGTGAGTCCTTGAGCCAAGAAAAATTCAATTGACTTAATTAAATGTTTCTTTGCATTTGGGAACAAACTTTTCAGAAATGTCGAGCACAGCTACAGGTTCCAGAAACTTGACCAGTAGGGAAGCCCAAACCAGCAAAACGTCCCAATTAATAAACAAATCTTCAAGATCCGAAAGTTCGGTGTTTGTGCCTGGCAAAGGTGGCACAGCGTTCATCGTACAGTGCAGCAATGAAAACGTGTCGCCTAAAACAAACGATCACCAATACGAGGAACGATGGCTGTATAATTACCTGACGGCAAATATGTCAAGTCTAAGAGAGATTTACCAAACTTACGCCGAGGCGTTTTCCTCGGCCCCGCCTAAATGCGATCTTTGCATGAGCAGACTTGCACTTTGGCAATTGTGGAGGGACTGTGGCATTCATGATAAGGGAATCAGCCTTGTGCAGATCGACTGTTATATTGGTTAGAATGTCAAATCCTTAAAATTAAGGGGACTGATAGAGTACAAAATGCGTTTCAATTAAAACGAGGTTAAGCAAAAGTGAAACGGTAAAAGAAATATTCGTCGTTTCATTCGATGTCTTACGGAGAACTTAAGACCGTAAAAGATGTAAAGTGATCCGAAATAACCAACCTGTGCAGACTACAAATTTCTAACTCTCTTTTTTAACGTTTATACAAGTGAAGTCACGTAAACACGTGATAGAAAAATGAGACATTTCCAGCCTGCACAAATCCGCCATTTTGAAACACTGGACAACTTTTTGTCTTAAATCCCCCGAGGAATATTACACATAAGATAGGTCCATAAGTAAATATTTCTTGTACCTATAAATTATCTTTTAATCTCTCATTAAAACGGATTTCACAAGCTAACTCCCTTAAAATGACGAATCGCGAGATGCAATCATTTTTTAATAATCTCGTTTATTCTCAGCCTTCAACAAGTCGACGTTTGTTGAGGAGAAGCATAACCCTTTCGAAAAACTCGAAATTTGGCAATTCATCCACGCATTGCTAGAAGTGGCTTGGCATATATACACGAAATATATGGATTCCGAGACAGAAAATATTCGCGGACGCCTGGCAGGTGGTCTTCACAAGCTCTTGACAATTGACATCCTTCCAAATTTCGGAAATCACGTCGGTAGGTCGAGTTTTCCGGGATTTCCCTTTTCTGGCTAAAACCGATATGCATTTTTTTCAGGAACTCTTACGAGTGTTAATCGTAATTTATTACCACTATACGCAGTTTTCCGGTTGTACGAGTCAATAGGAAATCCTCACACCGTTTTACAGTTTCTTCGTTCCACGTGTATTATAAAAGGTACATTAAATCTTTTTACAATTTTCACATTAACGAACATTGTGGAATAACCGTATAAAGGGTCACCCCCTTTTATTACGTAATCGTTACGTGAAAAATCCTTCAGGAACTTCCGACCCGGAACCAAAGTCATGGGCACCAAAAATTACGACTTTTCCGGATTTTCTTCTGGATGGCAGAAACGTCGTAACGGTTGGCGAAAGAGTCAGTTATTTGCCGAAAGAAGCACCTTTCAATGTGCCAAAAGTTCCTAAACCTGTCGAAAAGAAAGACCAGGACCGTTTAGGTGCGTACCGTGTAAAGTACAATGTTGAAGATGTTTCTGAGACTCCACAGTTTCGAATACAAATTTATTCGAAAACCAGAAACAGTGGGACTCGAGATAAAAACCAAACAAATATGTACCTTCGTACACAATCACCTATGAATTCTCACAGATATGATCAATAACTAGTATACAATTTCGAAATTTATAATACATGCCTTGCGAAATTCGTATAATCGTGGACTAAAATCCCGAATGCAGTTGTATACGGAATTTCGAAATATTGTATCTTGGAAAAACATCGACTATACGTGTACTAATTACAGATCATTTTATAACAGTGTATTTGCAATGGTGGAGATGAATGCCTCCCCTGCGAGTATAGTACCGTAAGTGAATAATGAGAAGGTATTCATGCCCACCATTGTACACTATTTGCTACTTCACGGCGACTTAAGATGTTATGAAAGAATCATTCTATATACATGTATCATCATCATATAGAATCATTTGAAACTTCAGCACGTGATCATGGAGGCCCTCCGGAAGAACGCGGTGCTCACGAAAATTCTTTTTTCAACAAAAATATGTCCTTGGTTCTGATCTTGATAAATAAAAGAAAAATTGTTATTTAAATATGAAATTTCACGAGCCTCGCATTCTTCCTTAGGGCCTCCATAATTATCCCCTTCCTGAAGTTTCCAATTATTCGCTGAACCCAGTTTGGAGAAAAGTTTTATAAATATTTTGACGTTTTGATATATACAAAATGACCCTTTCGTAACACCTTAAATTCACAATAAAACGATTGGCCTATTGTAGCGCAGGAATTATTCGCCTTGCGGTGGCTGGGAGCTCCAAGAATGGTTGAGGTCATAGCCCACGTGTGTCCTTCGATTAAAGATCCACAGAGCGGCATTATTGTTAATATATCGTACGAGGTATCCGTCATCGAACATCAAAACGTCAGATAGCGGCCTTCGAAACGGTTTTACCAATTTGAATTAATTAAACCAATTACGGTTCAAGCTCACGTTCCTGGAATTTTACGAGATCATTTTGGAAGCCAGCAGACGTTTTCTATACGCAAGAAGAATTGAAGAAATGAAAATTGAAAAACAAGCAGAAGCTTCTGCACCTGACACCGCCCTCGACGAAAATACAACAAATGGAATCCTCCAAGGAAATTCCAATCAACATTCGGCAGCGTCGAAACGTTCAAGACCTAAAAAGAAGTTTCAATAATTTACATTTAAGCTCGAAAAAGCAGTCCGATTAGTTACAACTTTGCCTGTATCGCTTCAGAGGTCATGCACAATGCAGTACACGTTTTATTCATAAGTACAATATATTCAATCCACAAGATCTGATTGCTAGAATACAATGGATGTCTTTAACATGTAAATTCTATAGAATATAGATACTATGGTCAATTGAGAATCACATTAGTCGTTTGATCGATTTAAAAATATTAGCAACGGACTAGAATGCATACACTGTTTCATCGTTACGTGATTTATAATCGAGTAGTACGTATTTATGGCGAAGACACATCGCCCGGTTTTGAAAAACTACAAAAGTTATCTGTCCGCTTCTTAGAGGTCGGTTTGATCTTCGCTTCGATAACTTAAAGTATATATCACTTCCGGCTGTAACAAATTTCAAATTGCATACAGAGTGGAAGTACGGTTTACAAAACTACCGGTGCGAGTAGGATAGAGCTCTAATGTACCGTTACCGTTTAAAACGCGACTTTGCCGTTTGATATCACAAAAGGTTATATTCACACCGCGAGTCCATTTGTCTTATCGCATCTAATCTAGAAACCCGCAGTTTCTCTAGTGCTCTCCAACAAGCAATACATTGTACGAACAATTGACACCCGAGAGTTCTCCGCCGTTTACAAGGGATCTTCCCTTTCCGAAAGATCCCGTCTTTTCTCGCTCACCAATAGTACTTCGGGAATGCAGCTTGTAAAAGGTAAGATTCCGTTACAAAAGATACCAATGCTCGCGCCTTATCTCACAGTACCAAATATATATACGTATATACACTGTACAGGAGGATCCCGACATTCTACGCCCTGCGGATTGCCTACAACTTCAAGATGGTACATACATCTTTCCGAGACACATTCTGATTACAGAAAAACATAAAGAGTTCCCGTCCACGGAACGATTAAGAAACATTTACGGTGTACAAGTATCTTCCCTGACATTCGATAAATCAATGGGATAAAAGAAAGACCACGGTTAACGCTTTATGCTTTCAGGCATGCAATTACTACGTGCTTGGTTACTGAGTTTATTCTTTACAATTATCAAGGAATGGTACTTGAGAAAGGGAGCTTCGGCAATGACAAAAATGAGGCTATCATCCCTCGATTTGGATTTCCGTTCGTTATTTACCAGGAACAACATGTAATACCTAATGTGACAGCACGGATTTACGAATTATTTCGGTATAACCAGCACTTGCGTACTTCTTCTGCCGACCTCGTTGATTACATTCACACGATGAGACGTTTATAACAGTGAATATGTACAGTTAAGAAATATTTTGCCAGTCGCGTGAAATATCCTATTCCAGTGAAGTTTGATTCAATGACGTACTATTTTATGTTGTAACGAATAATGATATTGGTTGTTGAGTAATGTGAAATTCTAGGATTTCCACATTTCAGTCTTACCGCTACCTATACGAGTACGTAAATATATTGACTAATGCATTCAAACACTATTTCATTATCACGTTTTAAATCTCCAGTACATAACACGTAATTACCCTTCTTACAAGTACAGAGTATTTCATCTCCATTCAACAAAGATTTCCCCTTGCTGCTTTTGATTCTTTCTTTCCCTCTGCCTGTCCCAATTTAAAACGAAAGTTGCATTAGCATTTTAAAAAATAGCTTATTTCTCTTTTCTTTGTAATATTTCTTCAAATTGTACGTTACCACTTGGCAAAGAATGTCTGAGAATTACACAAATTAAGGAAATAAAAAAAATTAAGTCACAATTTGGGGGAAAACATGTCGAGTTAAGATAAAATATCTCCTATGTCTGCATTAAGTAACATTTCCAACACGTACGTGTCTTAAAGGAATATCTGCTTAAAACAAAATCATACTTATGAAAATATTTACACTTTACAAATAGAAATGTCGGTGCATAAATGTATTATACAATTGTTAAGGTTCGGATTTTTTCGTGAAATTCAGTGACCGTCCTCGGTAGTCTGTTAACTCGACAAAGATCCGAATTGGAAGAGATCCGAACCTTATCAATCTTTAATAATTTACATACTCAAATGAGTTGATATATATTTTTTAAGTAACTAATTGACTTTAGTATGGATGCTAACGAGCCTCATCTAGTTTAAAAGTGCGTGCTAATATACACGAGTGCGATAACAAGTGGCATATACATTAATGTCAATTCGGAACTGAAATAAAACCGAGTCATTTATAATCAGTTAATGTGTAACATGTAGGATGTACACTTTCAGTCCATGAGCTAATACTCATTCGACCGTGTTCCATTTCTTATTAATTTTCCACGTGATTATATCTATTATAGACAACGAAGATGCAATTAGGATATATCATAACAGTCCGTATATATAGGTAAGTGTATCGAGAAAATTGTTAATATTAGTCTTGAATATCTTGTTGATACCGACACTTACTTATATATCCGAATGTAGCCTATCGTATTTACTCCCTCTAAACATCGCATATTGTATTGTTTACTTGATATTTAATGACGCGCCATTCTATTCCTCTATAAAATGTACTTGAACGTATATTTAAATTAGTACCAAGATGGACGCTCCCTATCGAATTATAGTGCAAACCTCAGAAAAGGTTTTTAAACGAGATTAATTGTAACAACACAATGCATATATATTACATTAAAAGACTTTCATATCTTAAAGAAAATATAACTTATAAACGTAACATGACTATAATTCACTAAAAATGTAATATACGACCATGGCGAATACTGATACGTACAAAATGAGCACACATACACCTGGATAAAACCAGGCAATTATAAATTACAACTGCCCAGAAGATAACTTTTGAGTACCGTAAGTACATAGTCAACGTTGATAAACATAATTTCTCTATTATACAAATATCCGATTAATTGGAGTTACGTTATAGTTTTAAGTATTTAAAGTGTCTGAAGTATTTAGTATTGTGTTGACCATTACTGGCAGTAAGACCAAATTAACTGTTCGACTGTCACGTAAGTTAAGTTATATTGATCGCATCTTAGCTAATACATTGATAATAACATTTCAATGGCTGTAACCATATTTGTATACACTGACAATCACCAAAACAATTATAAATTGGTAGCTTGGTGTGTTCACAAACATAGTTATAGTCCAAATCGTCAAACGTAGTTTGAACAAATTCTACACCGTTAAGTTCCTTTAAATTTCGACATTTTTTGCATTAATTATAAATGACGTCCTTAATATTTGTAATTGAAATCGTTCCATGCCTCGCATGAAGAGTATTATACTCACAACACAAATCTTCAACATTTAAGATTAAATGCATTACAGATGCCTACAATGAATTGCTGCATTCTTATTTCTGAATAGCGGACATGATCGAAATTAACTTTTTATCAGTTTTCTCAATTTTCGGAGTTTCCTATCTACTCTTCTACTTATCGCTGCGATTCATTTTATTGCAGTAACAACATGGATCGTTTAGTTTCTTTTTCACCGCAATGATAAATCGGGGCTATAAAAATTTCCGCGCACATCGCGTTTATCCTATCCCAGTATCAAGTATCGTCGTACTAATACTACCGAATGCTATATGTCGCTCGTATTTCGCGTTGTATGGTCTTCACTCCATTTCCTCGAGGAGTCATACATTTCATTGAAAATCTGCGCACCTACTATTTTCTTCGGCAACTTGAAGTATTACGAACAGTTCCTGTAGTAATGCCTTGTCCATTGGCTAATAAGACTGGTTATTTAGTACAGCGATAAACTGTGGTTTTTAATCTTTTACGAAGAAAGCGTTCTGTGCCTACGCGATACGTTTGATATGACTGGTCGTCAAGACTCGTAAATGAGCCGCTGATAATGGGGAAAAATTTCCCATGTTGGAAGGTGCAATCCAAACTCTAGGGCCACCAGTACGGCGAATTCCGATGTAATTAATTCCTTACGATTCAAGCGGAACACACTTTCGATTCTCTGGAATATAATACGTCCAAGAATTAAACATAGCTTATACAAAATGACAAGAACAAACGAACGACGTTAAATATATTTTACCTCAATTAACGATTTCAAAATGTCGCCCTTCACGTCGTTCAATTTAGCAGCCAGTAACAAACATGCACCAGCGCATAATTTCCGTGTCTGTTTCGTCACGACGTTCCTCAAAATTAACTTCTCGAAATATACGTAAGCCATTGCGACGGTCAGTAGATCGATGCCGACCTCCATCTTGGCTATTTTCCTCATTTCCCGTTTTAGACTAGACGAAAAAGATAAATGCTTGAGTATATCGGCCTCGGACACTATAACTCATTATCTCAGAACCTAATTTAACAATTGATCTACTACACGCAAAATTGGCAAATACTGTAACTGACTAAGCCGCTGATTACCTTCGCAATTTACTCAGGGTAAGTTGAATGTTTGGAAACTTCTCCTTGAATTTGTCGTTTAACTCTTTCTTCAGATCGGAGGGCCTTACGTAGTCAATTACAGAAGCCTGTAACCAATGTAAAATCGTTAATTATTTACATTAACACATTTATTGTGATTGACAAAGAAGTATCGATAGACCGAAGAAGAGAATGAAATATATTATTTAACCGGAAATACTTTTTGAAACGAAATCTATATGAATGTAGTAAAAATAGGTACCATGTACGATGTAAAAGTAAGTAATGTTCGGTGCTTCCCTGCAATCAATTCTGGATCGTCTAGTAAATTAGGATTGTATTGTAAAGACTGTTCATCCCAATCATGACCTGAAACGAGAGTAACATTTGTTTTAATTTGAATATTTTATTGCTTCAAAATAAGTAAGTCATCCTTACTTTTTATATCAGCTGTAAACGACAGCGGAGGAGAACCTGGAACCACATGCTGACTACGATGTGTAGCTGTATCATAGGAAAGACACCTAAAGCAGAAGTATTATTTTCAATAACAAATATTAGTAACTAAATGTAATTCATGATGTGATATTATATTAATTAGATTAATGTAAGATATAAATCGAGATAATATTAATAATCATAGTGAGTATGTAGTAGCATCAGAAAAAAGCTATAATGTTGAAACATTTTAAAGATTTACAAGCATATTAAATATCTTTGGACTGTTAAAAGAACTCCCCACCTAGATATTCCTAGTTGCGATAGGTACTAATGAAGTAGCAAATACCTGGTTAAATTAGTTTCAGGGAAAATGTAAATGCTACAACTTTAGAACATTAAGATCCATACTCATACCTCACTTTCAGCGTTAAAAGACTTTAGCCGTTTAAAGATCATAGATAAATGACATCTTCTAATGCTAAAAGTAAGGTATAAATACAGACCTAATATTCTATCGATACATCTGCATGAATACATTCGATTTGATGACACCAACTGAACTAAATCGCGGAGGGTATATTTGGTAACTAAAATTATCCAAAGATTCTACACATCTTTGTATCGAGCAATACAGCTTTTTACCATTTAGTTTTTTCCACATTCCAGGATATAGTTTTCGTCCTGTAAAAAGATGAGCGATATGTATGGATCTTATGATGTTAAGGATTGACATCCATTTTAAGTGCTAACTTATGCGATAAAACTCTGTGGTTAACATGACATTGCTGATTCAATAGCGCATAGTTGTTGAAACATGTTTATGAATACACAATACAGAGCGATGATTAAACACGGATCATGCAAGAAGTGAGTACACGAGCACAGACATTTATTTCAACAAATATTGATTTTATATTGTAAATAAATCCTGTGAGAGTTGATCAAAGTGTATCACATTGGGTGAACGTAACGGCACATTTTAGATACCGAAGTGCGACTTTGAAAATGATAAATCGTTAAGGTAAACGCCTTACATATTCCGAAACGAAAGGATAAAATAGTTTTAATATACCTTGACACTGGATGATGTTTATTAGGCACTACATGCATGAGTTCTAATGTCTCACTGTCACTTGCATGTGATTTTCTTTCTTTTTGAAATTGCCTAGATGGTACGAGTAACTGCCCATATGAAATTTCCTGAAACGACACGACATTTATAATAAATATTTTTAATACATTTCACTTCATGCCGGCTGGAGAGAGATGTGCAACGGACAAAACAAACTGATATACTACCTGGCCATCTTTGGCACGTTCTATTCCCAATAAGCCGAAAGGGTCCAAATTATCGTTGATGGCTGATAACGGTCTTGGACCAGTGGCAGTTTTCTTGCGACCAGTATCTTTTCGCAGCTCCGACCTAAATGAGACATCATCCATATAAAAACATTTTCAGCTCTACGCAGTCAATCATTCGATAAAGAATACAAGGTATCTATTTTCTCTGTTATGTATGTACGTTAACAGGACGTCCTGCACAGTTAAACTCTACTTCTACCAGTGATGACATTTTGTACTACAACGGGACGGAAAAGGCTTAAAAAGTGAAGCATCGATACCTTTTTAAAACCGGATTAGGGACCGCATAGTTTTTGCAGACAGAGATGATACCCACTGTACTTTGGTAGCTAACAATAACATGAAATTCAGTGAGGAGCGCGAGACTCTACACCGTGCAATTATCGCGTAGTCGCAAACTGAGAAAAAGAAACCGGAAATCGATAGAATCGTTTAAAGTTTGACAGCGTCAACGTCTGAGCACTCACCAACTCGTTCTCTGTCCTTTGTTATAAGGAAGAGCGGAGAATACGAGAAACGGTACCCGCTTTGTAGATACCAATACGAGTCTGTCATCCCCGAACTTGTGTCCATTAATCGGTCGCTGCATCAGACGTAATTCCCTGGTTACTTCGGGAATAATTCCGCTATTTGTGCAGCCAGATTGTACGCTATTCAGCACCTTTGACTTTGTTTTCGATGTCTGAGATAAGGACTTTGAGCGCAGCGAGCCGATGCTCTCGTTACTGCTGTTGTATTGATTCTTAATGTCTTCGGAAAGCGTTGACGTTTGATGAACAATTCGTTTTTTATATTGTAGGGATCCCACACGCCTCTCGGGCAAGGAATAGTCACTCCCGGCAGTTCCCGTACTACGAATACGTAAAGGTACCAGACATGATAGATTGCCCAACATAAAGATTAGTTTTTCTAAACAATTTACTTAGGACTAAGGCCGAGATGAGGAACGGATGAGGTATAACGAAATGAATGGTCGAACAGATTACGGATGCAGCATTGACAACTCAGAAGAACAGTAGTGACTAAGTAGTCGATATAGATTATTAAAAGTAATAAATTTTTAAAGGAATAAACAAAACGGCCACAGCTTTCGTTCCATCATTTCACTTCGAGATTACCATTCCAATTATTCATTTGCTTTTTAACTCCAGTGCTTGGAGAATAATGCCGCTCAATAATATTATCACTACCTTATCAAGCTATGTCCATTCTGATATCGCAATGAATCCCACACCCCTGAGAGGTCTTTTCTTTTTGGTGTTATCTGTAGGCAGTGTATCGTGTAAACTGATAATTATAATTTTGCCATATCTGTTTTGAATTAAATAAAGATATATAAGGAGACTTGGCGTTCTTTCGAATTAATCACCTCTTTGTCTACAAAACCACTAAATGCGTTGCTAATTATTGTTAAAAGCGAAACATTTGAATAACAGTTTCTATTGCACTAAAGTTCTAATAAAATTATATATGCAATGATGGAACTAATGAATTATGTAATATATTTCTATACATCTATGCTAATCGAGTTAATACATTTTCTTCATGTTGTCTTTCATAACTACAGAAATATAGACAATGAAATTATCTAACAGATATATCTAACGTCCAATATTGTTCGATCTCGTATTATTAATTGCGTGCATATCATTTACAGACAAGCCAAACAAAATAACAATGTTTAAACATGCACTAAACCGATAGCTGAATGACTTGGTATACTTTTTGCTATAAAGCAAGACACAGATAATGTTACGATTTCAAAGGAAAAAAAACTACCTATTGAAGCAAAACAAACAGAGCTTCCACAAATATGATTATGCTGCAAATGAGTTCACAATGTTAGTAAATTAGTATAAATAGAAGCTATGATGCGAGATAGGATGAAAAGTTATGAAGAATAATACATAACTAATAAACTAAGTTATTTACATAACGAAGAACCAGATCCCGCGTATTTAACCGCCACATCTTCAGCATAATTAACCATGGCATGTTGTTACACCTAGATATTCATGCCATAGTAATTACCCAGACTCTTTAAGCACATCATATATTACTAAACGATAACACGTCTCCCTCTTCACAAATACAATGGAATAAAGTACACAAGATACTGTCATCTTACCGCTCTCTAAAGGAATTATGAATTCCAGCCACTGCCAAAGGGCAGTTTCTCTCCTGTTCGAGGAAAGCCGCGACCGTGACTTTCGCCGGAGCGAGGTGCCCTTCCGAATCGGAGCCAACCAAGCGTTGCTCGGTGCTTCTCTGGGTAGCTCGCGGCGAACCGGCCTGTCCAGTCCCAGGGACGATCCGAGACTTCTCCGCTATGCCATCGACCGTCTCTTCGGTTGGCGTATCCAAGTTGCCTCGCTCTCTTCTCTGGAGCTGTCCTTCGAGGCTCGAAGTACGATCCCGTATCACTTCGCTACGAGACAGCAAGGCCAACTTGGTGTCTCGGTGGCTTCCGTCGAGGGAGATATTGGAAAGGAAAGTGAGGGCGGCCAACCTTCTACGTGAGTGATTTTTCTTTATGGCTGCTGCCATCCCACGGCGATACGCGTTTAGAGACCAGAGAATCGTGCGACCGAGCACGACGACTAAAATAAACCCCGGGACCGTGCGCGTCACGCGAACGAGCGAAACTAAGATCACGATTCGGATTCATTCTCACCGATGATGGTGTACTTAGTCCTAGCGTTCATCACCATGTAGGCACGTCGCACTTTTAACCACGAGCCCAGGCGACCTGGCATCCTGGCGTTTCTCTTCATACGACCTCGAGACCTGGCTGGGCTTCCTCTGGCCGGCTGGACGCGACTGGACGAACCTTTGACAAACCAGACAGACCTTATCGTTAGGTGCGGACAACTCGGCTCCGTTACTGCGCAGCGAGACCGGCCCAGCCCATTCTCCTTCTCGCGGTTCCTCGACTTCTGGAACGATCTCGCACGATTATTACTCTACTCTCTTCGTACCTACCAACGAGCCTCTCGGTACCGAGCGCATACGCGAATCGCGACTTGCGCACACTTGCCGAGACTCGGCGACGCGACACCACGCGATTGGACGTTATCAGCCGTGATTTCGAAGACACTCGAGCCGAGGACCGCCGGCCGTTGCCGGAACGACGCGCGAGCTCTTTGAACCGCGAAGAGATACTACGACTGATTACGGCCCCATTCGAATCATTCGAATTGACAAAACTCGTTGTCAAGTAGTTCTCATTTGTCACCGAGTTTTCCGCACTTAAATGCAATCAAGGAGCGCGAAAGTCAATGCAGGGAAGCCTGATTATTTTATGTAACATTGGCATGTATAGGTTGTACTAAATCATTATTTACGTCGCTTGACTAATTTTTCCAATTATTTTCGAGGATGTGCGGTGTTAACTATCAACAGATATCTATCGCATCTATGATTCCGAATCGGTTGGATGCTATTGTATGTCAGATCGCGTTGAGAGTTCGTTTTAAAAAGAGATTAAGATAATTTTGTAGAGATAACGCAGCATTAATATTTTCAAGATTAGCCGAATTAAATCACACCAATAGATTCGGACGTTCGGGCGGAATTCCAAGATGGCAGGAAAAATTGCGAGAAAGTTAAAGCGTTGTAAATTTTCTCCTCCACTTTTTTGGCATGACGTGTAAACAATAATGAGCGAAGTTCGAGCGGAGCTAGTGCACGCTAAAGCCTGGTTTATGATCCGTCCTAACCCTAGGTTAACCTTAACTTAACCCTAACTTGATTATTCACCGTACGGAATTCATAGGCTCTCCTGATATTACCCTAACCTTTTGCATAAACGCTCCTTATGAATTCCTAGCGGTGAACAATTGAGTTAAAACGAGGTTAGGTTTGGGACAAAAACAAGCTAGGCAGGCCGTACACCAAAGGCGCGCACGGCAAGCAGGGTCGAGCAAGGTTTATTTTGTCATACAAAACATTTAACGAAACAAATGCCGGTCCTAAGAGCGAATATACACAAATCCATGTGTATTAAATGCTTTAAGCATTTGCTGCGTACTTATCGTATGTGTTTTTGGCGTACGATTTGACTTACCTTCTCGGCTAGTGCCTACGTCGCAAACTCCACTCCGTTTCTGCGCGTTCCCACGGAACTACGCGAACCGTGTCGCCAGTAAACAAACCTAACGTCATCGAAGTCGAACTCGAGGACGGAAGAGGCGGCGGGCATTGATTTCAATTTAAATCGCATCTTATCGATTATCCCAGACTCGCTCGTCTCAAAGTGACCTTTTTCGTTTACGCAATTTCGCGAAGCGTGGTTATTGACAGAAACGGTGCAGACTCACGCGACAAGCGCCAGGAATGCGCGCGAACACGCGGCTGCTTGGTAATTTTTTGATCTTTGTTACGTAAATAAGAAGAGTCGTTGGCAGGGATCGATCGCCGGAGCGTGGGGCTTTATCCTGTAAATTTTGAATGAAGGTAAGAGGATTACTAGAAATCTACGCCGAGGTAATCGTAATCCTTTCTCTTTGCGGTATTCTCGACGAACGTGGGATTTTCTAATGGAATGGAAAATTGCGTAAGGTGAGAATTCCAAGAATTCAGGGAACAGGTTCTCTCGGGCTTGATTGAAAGGTTTAGTGGGGACTCATTTCAAGGGTGGAAACCGTAACCGTGAGAAGGCGTGGCTTGATGGGGAGTAATTACTTTTCCTTCGTTTATTTTATGAATTGAACGATGGCATGCCCTCGGAGGTAGAATATTCCTTTATCTGTGATATTATATTCTCGAGATATTAATGCAAATAAAAAAAGACTCTTCAAAGTATGTGAATTAACCATTTCGTGGGGAGTCACGTGCCGTTCTTTTCCCGCGTTACCGCATCCGCCATTTTAAATTATCCCACGTGGTAGGATATTTCCGTTGTAGAGCCAATAGTAAATCAGAAAGTCGTGTTCAAAAGAGCGAGAGAAAAGCGATTAATGCAACGAACATCTCGTCAGAGACGAGGTGGGAGATTGCTCACGGGCAGGATCGTGCGATCGCATCCTGTGCTGCCCTCTGGTTTCGTACGTTAGCTTTCACCTTTTTTGCCCCCAAGGGCGGCGCAACGAATTTCTGGTAGGAGCTCGCGCACTCGCGATGGCGGTACCATCTACCAGTCGCCGTTGACGGCTCACGTACTCGTGATGGTAATACCTTGCGGCAGTTGACGGTGGTGGCTTATCTACGCTTACCAACACTGCTCGCTTTTGATGGTAAGGGAAGAACACTCGTGACGCTCCATTTGACTTTATCCGGTGTCGGGTGCCCCAAAGCTCCACATCACGTCGACTTCGAGGCAACAATGTACTTAATAGTAGTAGATAAGTAGATAAAGTCAAATGGAGCGTCACGAGTGTTCTTCCCTTACTATCAAACGCGAGCAGTGTTGGTAAGCGTAGGTAAGCCACCACCGTCAACTGCCGCAAGGTATTACCATCACGAGTACGTGAGCCGTCAACGGCGACTGGTAGATGGTACCGCCATCGCGAGTGCGCGAGCTCCTGTCAGAAATTCGTTGCGCCGCCCTTGGGGGCAAAAAACGGTGAAAGCTAACGTACGAAACCAGAGGGCAGCACAGGATGCGATCACACGACCTGCCCGTGAACAATCTCCCAACTCATCTCTGGTTTATTTTGTGACGTATTGCCTGATTTACATAGAGAGCTACAAGCGACGAGCAGGAAATGACCAATAATATTGTTGGATTTTATCGCAACGACGGAAGGGAAACAGAAAATTTGCTTTGTTCATTGGCTGTCGCTTGTTGTCCCTTATTTGTAGCTCGCAGTCGGAATCAGTCCCAAGGAATGCCTTGCTCTACTTGGAATAAACTTGACTTTGAGTTTTGCGGAATTGTCGAATAGCGCTTTCAACATTTTTATTTTACCGCCAGACGTAAAGTAAACGTTCTTCATTCTCAGTTAGATCAACGTTCTAAGTAATTCTGTAATTCTTACCAATTTACCAATGCTTATTATATTCTTATTGACGTGAGTGTTATTTTTAAAATTTCATAACCTCAATAAACTGGTGCCCAATTTTGTTAAACGATTTTCTTTAATTGATTTACTGCTTTATTTCCAACAATTTCATTGTTTCACGTGTCATCAAGAAAGGTATATTCGGTAAGCTTAATTTATATTTGGCATTAAAGGGGTTGCTTTTTATTTAATATGCTTTCATAACCTATAACGTAACTTAACCGTTTGCGGACGACACTTTTCCTTTTTAAACCCCTTTTGGGCGGTTATTTGGCGACATTCGTCCGCAAAGGGTTAATTCAATATATATAAACATACTATAAACTTAATATAAACAAACAAGCAAAGAACCTGTGATGTTTATGTTTTATGCGTATATGTAACATTTGTGTAGATCACATATTGCAATGCTGGAAATAACGTGCAATGATCGCTTAGGGAAAAAAGTCAGAGTAAAATGTAATCCAGACGATACGATAGGTGACCTAAAGAAGTTAATTGCTGCACAGACTGGAACGCATTGGGAAAAAATCGTTTTAAAGAAATGGTACACCATTTTCAAAGACCACATCACATTGCACGATTGTATCCTTCAACATAAATAGTTGATTATTTCTGTAATTTTAGCTACTTAGATTTATAGCATACCTTTATTTATATAAATTCTTATGTTTATCCTTAACTAATTCTTATCAGATGAGATTCATGATGGTATGAATCTGGAATTATATTATCAATAAAGCAATTTGTTGATCTTAATACCCATTCATAATTTGTATTTTTAATTTACATGATTATCCATAAACTGTATATAATGATCTAATAAATTCAAAACAGATGACAGAAATAAATATCATTTATTTTCCTAGTTTCTTATACTTTGTGGTAACTTTACTAGATAAATACATTTCCCTTTTCATCATTGATATGATCTATTAATGACATGTTGAATTAATATATAATACATATAAAGCATTATAGTATCCTTGATTAATATAAATGTAATATATGCTTTATCTTAATTAGTTGTAAGTATGCACAGCATTTCAGTAACAAAAATACAAATTAAATCTCAAACACTTTAGAACTTACAAACTCAATAAAAAAAGAGTATAACTGTAATTAAATTGACTTAGATTCTTGTACATTTTACTGCTTTGAAGTTGCTCCCTGTAAAGTACAACAGAAGCTTCAAATTTGATTGAATTTGAACTATTTGCCAAAGATAGTATTTAAAATTGTACACTTTTATTCTTGTTTGTGACTGCTAATGTGGCCTCTTGATTAGTTTCTTTGTCCGTGGTTCCAAATTTTCAGGCTCTTCCACTACTTTACCTCGATTGTATAGGAAATCTTTTATATGTTGTACAATCAAATCTATAGCCACTGTAACAAACCATAACAAATATTGTAAGTAAATAAAAATACACATGACGTTAAAGAGTCCATTTATATATAAGTTTATTCTACATATTAGTTTACAATGTCTATGAATTTTATAATATTATGCTACTCTTTATTGCAGCATTATACTTAAAATACTATTTTATTGGTTTCATAAGTCTGGCAGTTAACAGGCATAGAAACAGAGCAATGCCTTTTCTTATATTTCTATAATATAATCACAAAAATGTTCAATTGCATCCACGTGACTGACTCATTTTACGAATGTCAATCTTACATGGAAAAATTGCAATTTGCTAATGCTTTCATTTGTGCTTTTGTATTGGCATTATTATGTTATGCAAATGGTTTGTTAATAGATAATCAAATTCTATTGGAAATTATATCTCTAGATTTCTTTAGTACATTATCATACATCTGCAACAACCATATTTCAATAAAAGTTAAAGCTTAAAAAATCAGTCGAATCTCGGTAAGTATTGTACACAATATGTTTCAAAGTACAGATTACAAGTTTGATGATATAAAATGAAACACAGCGTACAACTTGGAATATTTTTAAAACACAAAAATGCTGGTACAACCAACATTTACGTGGTACTTAAAACAATTAACATAATAATGATTTATCCAATGAAATCTCTGTATACACCAACAATGACTGTTAAATGTTTCCTGGTGTTACAAAAAATACGTGCGAAAGTATATTCAAATATTTGAATGAAACTGAAATCGTAGAAAATTGATGTATCAATAAAACTTAAGATAGAATTATGCCAAAAGTAATAAATCAATGTATCATAATGTACTGTATCTGTATGGAAACTGACAAATACTACGTGGGGCATGTCTGAAATGATTATGCATAGTTAAAATTATGTGAGTCATCTGCTGATGGTGTCGGATGAAGCTGAAGTGCGCCTACGCTGGTAGAAGTATGGATGCTGCCCGGATGCAGTATCAGCCTTTTTCGAACGTAAAATGTCCCAGATGTGGTGCACTATAAGGTCTATTGCCACTGCAAACACATAACAGACTATGTATGTCTCCATAATAATTGAACCATTACTGCTTATCGCCATAATACAGCGTTCATAGATCAATAACGTATTATTAACTACCGGGCAGCACCCATCATAAATAACGTTTAAGATACAATAACAATAAGCTAAAAATAGACGCTATAAAGAAACTAATGTCGTGTCTGCTAAAAGTCTCTCAATCTATCATAGCTTTACATACTTATACAATAATTTCAGTTCAATGTGTTAAGAACACATATTTTTAGATTAGATGAATAAGGCTTAATCTGTTTAAATATCCTCAATTTCCAATAATGTGAAAGATTTAAAGAATGAGAAAACGAACTTTAAGCAGACGGCATTACTTGGCAATATCTATCATAAATAATAGTCAAAAGTAAATAATAGTAAGAACGTAAGTACATGTTTAAGTATGAACATGATATTTCTTATTTACACTTTATACTAATATAAGTGTAAAATATTATACTTTATATTTACCTGTATTATCTGCTCCCCGTGGTATTATTACGTCAGCAAATTTCTTTGTCGGAAGGCAGAATTCTTCAAAAGCAGGTTTCACAAAATTCATGTATTGATTAAGTACATAATCCAAATCTCTGCCTCTTTCGTTTATATCTCGTGGCACTGAAAACGTTAAATAACATCCAGTACCATTTTATATCTTGTAAAAATTATATTAACCTGCAATAATGAATTTAAACAAAAATAAAATACCTCTTCTTGCTAGTCGAGTGTCCGAGTCCGTATCAACAAATAATTTCATATGAAACAGATCGCGTATATTGGGGAAGTAGAACACCAAAATTCCTTCAAATAGAACAACATCTGCTGGATATATTGTAGTAATTTGATCCTTCACTCTGTAAATAAAGATCAGTCACTACATTAATATTACAATGAAAAGTAAGACCGTAATAATCATCTGTTCTGTAAAAATTTTCAGGAATTGGTTTCATCACCAGGAAATAAAGAACAGGAACACTAACATCTAAATATGATTACTAATTTTCTGAATAATAAGACAAGATTACAGTCAACAATGACCACCTGGAAGTACAGAGCTTATGAGGTAGTGTGAAACCAATGACGGAAAGTGAAGTTGAATAATACGTGCAAGAGTTATATCAATAAATGGTTGGCTCACATGCGCCATGTTTATCAACAGTACATAAATCTGCTGAGTTTCACTTCCTACCTAAGGCAAATGACGTCACATCAACATTACTATAAAAGTCTCTTACAACTTCTGAAACCCGTCATATTTGATTTTGTCACTGCTTATATAAAAAAAAACGGAAGACTAGTTTTTTTATTCCGTATTAACAATTTAAGTTAAGAAATGAAAGGGCAAACATGTGCTGTACTAATAATTATTGTTTTATTTTCTATGTTGTTTAATTGTGGTAATGGATGTAAGTTATGTGGTTCAAAATGGTGTCCCTGTGGATATGGAGGTTTAGGAGGTTTTGGTGGACTTGGTGGAGGACTGGGAAGTCTCCATTTTGGTGGCCTTGATGGACTTGGTGGCTTAAGTGCTCTAGGAGTGCTTAAAGCAGCTCTTTCATCTCCAAGCTATGCACCTCCAAGCTATGCACCTCCAAGCTATGCTCCTGTATATGCACCACCACCACAAATTACAATATCACCACCTGAATCGGTTGCATTAGCAGCACCAGCGACATACGACTCACCATCTCTGTCTGCTTTTAATCCAGTTCAACTTCCACTCTCATCCTCGATATGCGACTTATGTAATTCATATCCCGTAAGTATCCACTTTTCTTATATTAAGACCCTTTTAATTAAATGTCAATTATTTTACTTCCCCTTAAAAAATATAAAGCAAATGCTTGAACATAATATTCTAATCAAAATATTGTTTAATTTAAGCCAAAACGCTACCTTGGATTTTATTTTGGACGGAAGGCACTATATCGTTAAAGGATTTATCGCTAGCCTGTAATGTCATGCATCACTTTCAATCCTGCTCGAAGAATACCAGCAACATATACATTGAAGCACACGAATCATTGAGGTGGTCAAATAAATTTTGATTAAAAAAAGCATGACCAATTATTCACTACCCCCTTCGTTATAGATGAAAATATTTAACAGTAAACGTACAAACTGTTAGTCCTGTAGTCGTATGCTGGTATTTCACATTTAATCCCAGCAAGAATATCTTTTAATGTCTGTAGAATGAGATCATTGTCGAAAGCATCTGGATGGTCAAAATTATATTGACCTTTCTCAGCCTTCAACTTTTCCATAGGCGATAATTCTCTATAGAAGCTATCTTGTGATATGCAAACGACTTGCCGTTCCTGATGATCTTTGTCCACCTGGCCTAATTTCTCCATTATTCTTTTGCATACGGTGGACTAAAATCAAAACAAATTTCCATGACTCTTGGAAAACTTCCTCTCGCACCATTCACTAATTCCCTCACAATCTTTTTGTTTTACCATTTAATAAAGAGCAATAAAAAATCTTCCAACACGTGTTTATCAATTCTTATAATAAGTGAAATAACTTACCTTGCCACTCGCAGTCCCACCAGAAACGCCGATCAAAAAAGGCGTCTTACCCTCAACACCGTTAAGCTTTCCATTAAATCCAAAAGACATTTTCCGCATGGAATAAGGATTCATGGTTACGTCTGCCATTATTTCAGAGAACAACACTTTCGACTCCACTTTTGTCTTACGATTGTCTTCAAGAGAGAACGAGACGGTTGCAAGATATGCTCCTCTGTAGGTCTTTTTAACAGAGGTTAACCGAGTAAGAATGTGAACGATGCGTTCACTCGATGACAGACGAAGCAGCATACAGCACGTGTAGCAGCTTATTTTACCTACATTTAGTTATTTCTCAAAGTGCGCAACTCAGCACGATTCAATTGTTCTTTTCTTAACAAATTCTTGGACGAGCCGTATTGTACGGTTCGAGCATTATCAAAAAAACACTGAGATAGTATGGTTAGGCACTTCCGCCTGTTTTTGCTTGTTCTTTTGTCAGGGTCCTCTGAGTGTGTCGGGGGTCACGCAGAACCACACGAAACACGGCGCGTCAATACGTCGAAGATAAACGACCAATCAGAACTGCGGCAGTAGGGAAGCACCAATTAAACGAAATTCTGATTGGTTGCTCATATTTGACGCGTTGATGCGCCGCGCTCAATAAGTCACGGATGCGGTCAGTGGGACAGACCTCCTGCGAACCCCCCCATCCATGCTCATGTCGCATCCTGTCAATAGAGCCATGAAATGAAACAGAAATAAATAATATTTCATAATACAGTGAGTAATCAGCCTGGTAGCTCGGGTTCGGCATGTTTTACATTATAAAAGAAGCCGATTTAATGGACGTGTCATTCAGTTCTAACAGAATACTGAAATAATTAACAAAGAGCGACTTGCTACTCGTGAATATATTTGCCATTGCAATAGCTGCACTTTCTAATCTCCGCCAATGCAATGGCAGTGGAAAACCGGCACGTTTAAATAAGTATCAGCTTTACTGATGTAACTTTTAAATATTGAAGTTATTTTATATGTTAATTGGGCGAATATATGAATAACATTTTGATAATAAGAGTTAAAGTCCCTTCAATGTTGATATCGAGAAGTAAAGGCAGGTAAAGGGTTATATGAAAATATGCATTTAGTTCTGACGGATTCAGGTGCGGTTGCAGCACGAAATCTGAACCATGCAAATTGTTTTGTGTGTACTTTTCTATATATTTTTGTTCCCCGTCGGAATCTGTTTTCAAGGGGTAAAGATGCCTCTCCATGGCACAGCTGATTACGTCACTGAAGCCGGACATGATTAATATTTTCTGGAAGGTCGCCGAATCGATATATTGTCGTACCTAGAACTAGAGTAACGTTTGATATTTTGTTGACATTTTGTTTACTTTGCGGAATATTTAGTATTCTTAGATTAGAGGGTACCGTAACAAGCGATGTCTAATATTGGTAAGTTTACATTCGACAGGAGGTGCACTTAATGTGATCGTCGCGAGTTTGAGGTTACGTACTGATGCATTAATTATTGTAGACGACAATAACAGCGAGGGATCAGGAGATACAGAATGCGAAAATGGGGATGGGAAGAAAGAAAAAGAAACTGAAAAGATCCTGATTATAGATCCAGACAGCGAAGTATGTTACCCTTTCAAATGACGAATAATTAGTTTTGTGCCACTGTTGAATTAATGTAAAGGTTTTGTAGCGGCGTAACCATTTATTATGAAAATTGAAAATGTTATGGCAATCAAATATGAAGCTTTATACTGATGTAACATTAGTATTTAGAGTTCACATAAAAAAATTAAGTTTTACAGACGATCAGTTTCATATTGTTTTTTTAATGTTGCAGGAGCTGGATTTTAATCACACACGGTTATCGAAATTAGAAAATTTAGAACCATTAACCAAAGTAAGAAAACTTTGCTTCACGTGGAACTTAATAAAGAAAATTGAAAACCTTGACACGCTTGTCACTTTGGAAGAATTGGAGTTACGAGATAACCAAATTACAGTTATTGAAAATTTAGATGCTCTTGTAAATTTGCAGTATGTATTATATTGGCCATTATTGACATTATTTAATCTTAAACTAAGTTATTGCTAGGTAATTTTTTTTTTATTTAGTGGGTATTAATCATTTATTGAGAACTCACTTCATATGTACAAATGTTATTATTAAGACGTTTAAACATTTCTAGAGTGTTGGACCTTTCTTTTAATCGAATTAAAAAAATAGAAGGATTGGAGAAATTGCTCAATTTACAGAAACTGTTTTTGTCATCCAACAAAATATCTCATATTGAAAATATTTCCCACTTGAAAAGTCTTACTGTACTCGAGTTAGGAGATAACAAGATTCGAGAAATCGCCAATTTGGAAGGTTTGGGAAATCTGACAAGCCTTTTCCTTGGAAAAAATAAAATTTCGAAAATTGAAAATTTAGAAACTCTACAAAACCTTGAAGTTTTGAGTCTGCAAAGTAATCGACTAACAAAAATTGAGAATTTGGAGCAGCTGAAGAAACTAGATCAATTATATTTGTCCGAGAATGGATTAACCAATATTGAAGGATTGGAAGAATGTTTAAAACTAACTACTTTAGATCTGGCAAATAATAAGATTAAAAAAATTCAAAAGATTGACCATCTGAATAACTTAGAAGAATTCTGGGTAAATATTGATACAAGGTTTATTACATTTTCAAGAAATTTAATTTTTAACGTTTAAAATCTTGCAAATGGTGAACAATGTATTTTCAGATGAATACTAATCAAATAGAGGATTGGACAACGGTAGAAATCTTAACTGCGAATAAGAAACTGAAGACTGTATATCTAGAGATGAATCCAATTGCCAAGGATTCCAACTACCGAAGAAAAATTAAGTTGCTGCTGCCGTGGCTTGTGCAGTTAGATGCAACTCTTTGTAGATGAATTTTGAATGTATATACGATATAAACACAGTATGAAAGAAATCGGAAGAACAACTACATATGAAATTTTTGAAGACTATACAAGTTTAGAATTTCATAATACAAATAGAACAAAGTAAATTTGTATTATTATGCCAGTAGCATTTTTTAGGAATTCTTTGTACAAAAATGATGGAATCTGCAATGAAAGATGCTATTTCTTTCTAAAATGTCAAACATCAAAACGGTACTGTATTTAAAAATGCTGTTAGAGTACCAGTCTAGTATTTTATGTAATGTTTATTTTATTAGAACAGTAGTATATCTATTTCCATTCTTGCACATTCTCTGAATATGCAAGATATAATTTAGTTGTTTTAACATATTGCTGATGACATTTAAAAGAAGAGTTCCATAATCAGTACAATTACTTTTCATTTACATATAAGGATATTTTTCTGTCCAAAATGGTGCCCATTATCTGCCTACAAAAAAAGATTTCTCAGTATTGATTTACATTGTTTTACATAAAATACATTAAACTCCAAACTACTCAGCAAAATGTTACTGTACGTTCATTACGTTTATGTCAATGTTTCATTTTCTGTCATTAAGATTCAAGCTTAATTCATCTATATGGTGCATTTTTACATTATTCTATTTATATCTGAAAAACATCAAATATAAAACCAGCATTGTAACAAATGTGTATCTACACCAGCATTGCATCTGTTATGTCCTATTCCACATTGTCATTCCTTTTTTTAATTGTTAATTAGTAACTTTAATTATAAATAATTGACTGTCGTATACAATACTACAAGAACCACTAATTATATTGTACAACATTGTAACAAGAGGCTTATTTATATTCATTAGAGATCATTTTCCCTGTTTCTTTAAGACAATCATCAAGCATGTGTTACATATTTTAACCTGTGATCCTGCTTCTAATTTTTTACAATGTTTATTATGAATTTATTTTGAAAGCATGTACGAAATGTAAGAAACAAATAAAGGAAAATAAAATGTCTCAACCATGTATGGTTGGATACCGATGTTGTACATGCAAATTTTATTTCATTCTTTCTTCTGTAACCTTATAGATATTAAGTGATTAATATTTATTAATGATAATCACAGTTACAACACAGTAATCTATACCTTTACATTTTAAGATCCTACGTGTGATCTGCATAAAATAAGAAGTACATCTCATGAACTGATCCATGCAAACAGAAATGTACATACACATCAGACAAATGTATTTCTTTTAGAATTGGCACTCCAAATAACCAATTAGTAAGTATTTGGAGCAAGATTTCAATTTGGAGTCTCTGATTATAGTTTTACCAATTGTGTTCAAAATATTGAATTAGATTCAATAATTCTATTTTGACGCGCGATATGCTTTTATTTTTTAATAAATCTATCAAAATACAGCGGTTAGGAAATCCGCACATTATCCGGGGTTAGTAACGTTTTTGTGGAGAAAAAACCATAAATTAATTATTTCTATCGGCAATGCTTTGTGTCCATCAAGGATTACCGTAACCGAAAGTAGTCTTGACAATCTATTCATTTATTACGACAGATTAACGTCATAATTAAAAAAAAAATCCGCCAAGACATTAATTTATAGACACTTTTCTCGCAATGGCAAAGGTAACGTTGGCATCTAAAGTTGCTCTCGCATTTAATATGCCTACGCGAACTGGCATCTTAAGGTCACAGGTAAATATAATGAATTCTTTAGATATCCATAATTCATTTTCAAATACCATATAACATTTCCTTTCAGTCACATAACCACAAACTCTAATACTTAACCCGTGCACTATACTAATTTATTCAAGTATTTCTGTAATACGCTGAACTCACTATGGCATTTTAAAAAATCGCGCCTTTTCAACGCAATCATACGAACAATTAAAGTGATTGTCGATCCGATTTTCAGAACATTCACAAGTTGTGATCTGTGCTAAAAATAGAAATTTATCCGTATACCTTTTTTGTTAGCGTTTGTCGAAATACTGATAAGGCGTAATCATGTAAGGAACGAATTAATGAATGGACGCGGCTGTGCGTGCCGTCCAGGCCATGGGGCAATGCGGCCGGTGATTGGTCGATTCGAATATAAGGTGCGCGCTGATTGGTTCGCGGCAGTCCCGCGAGCGCCGGCGTGCCGACAGGAATTGACTGTGACGTCACCGACGGCTCTCGCGGTCGGCCATTTTGTGAGTGTGTGCTCGATCGGGATATTTGTATTGAGAGAGACTGCTGGAGCAAAATCGAATGATTTAGTTTATTGATAGGTTCCCCGGTTATTGTATTACATGTGCTAAGTGCGAAGTATATTTATTGAACGTTGTCTAGGCCCATACGATGGAGGAGAAAGCATCACTAAAAGAGCTCGACCAGTGGATAGAACAATTAAATGAGTGCAAACAACTGACAGAATTCCAAGTGAAAACCCTCTGCGACAAGGTATGTGCTTCGCTTGCAAGCGTATTTTATCGCGAGAGCTCCTTTTCCTTTGATCCCTCGTTTTGGACGATTGGATGTTCAATAGAAGAGCCCTGTCGGCTAGTTGAAAGTCACGGAACCGTGGTAGACCATACCACTGATTCACGGCAAACAATTATGGACGATGTGTCATGCGAGACTGATAGTGAATATTTCTCCAGTAGATCGCGATATGAAATTGCAAAATCAAAAATTTACTACTTCCAGTGAAAATTTGCCAAACTGGCAGTAGAGCCTCACTTCGTATGCGATACTTTTGCCGTGCACGTACGACCAATGTGGAACCTACTTTGGTACCGATGCACTAGTACAGATAATTTTTGCCAATATACATAACGCTGTCTCGCGATCCCAATTAATACGTAAGAATTTGCAACAGGTGCATGTTATTGCTTTCGGATTACTATGTATTTGCTTTTCCTTGGCTGTCAAATGAATTTCAATGTATATGATTTTTCTCAATAGTGCGAAGTTCGATACAATATGATAGGTCTCTCAGAAGCGAACTATTGCTTCGTTGTGGAATAATACTGCCATACTGTATGCAAAGAGACTTAAAACATGTCGTTAATGTTTATGCAATTTCATGAAATTAAATAATGTTTCTCATAGTAAATTCGGTAGGAAGTGATGAAATCTAGTACCTGCTGCGTATCGCTAAAATGATATCTATGTATCCGCAGTGGATCATAATTTGCCTAGTTAACTATTATTTATTTAAAATCAAATATTTGTGTACTACTATAAAAATCATGTTAATCATGTTCCTGGTAGTAACTTTTTGTTACTCGTATTACATTGTTAATGATCTGTATTAAAATTATTCCTTTTTTCAAGTACATTTTGTATTACTTTTTTCATGTGTCAGGCCTTTAAGAATTTGGTTGTATTAAATTATAATCTACAACATATTTTTCCTTAACTTATATTAGAATTAATAATAAAATGGTTCAAAGTAGATTATTGTTGTGTCGCAGAAATTATTACTAGATTATTTATTAATAAATGTGTCTCATGTTTGAAGAAATGTAATTCAATATGTTATGTATAAATCCACATCATGCAAATTAAATTGCGTACTGTATTTAATGACATTTATTCTACTTCAAGAATTATATGTACTAATGATAACATTACAAACATACTTTTGAAACCTGCAAATAATGAATCAGTAGAAAATGTTGATACTTATTTTAATAATGATCATCGTTCTTATTACCATTCTCGATGTACCGTCAGTTTAAATGTTATCTATGTCATTGTTTTTCAGGCAAAAGAAATTTTAGCCAAGGAGTCAAATGTACAGGAAGTAAGATGTCCAGTAACAGTTTGTGGCGATGTTCATGGACAGTTCCATGATTTGATGGAACTATTCCGAATAGGGGGAAAGTCACCAGACACAAATTACCTGTTTATGGGTGACTATGTTGATCGTGGTTATTATTCTGTTGAGACTGTTACTCTCTTGGTAGCGCTTAAGGTAATACTGTAGTTGAGTTTCATTGTAGCTATATTATTGTACAATAAGGATAGGCAATATTCAAATTGCTTTACACCAAATTACCTTTAAAAGCAGTTGTGTCACAGTTTAACTCAGAGTCTTTGGTGACTCAGAATCGTAACAATGAATTAAAAGATATGGATTTTAATATCCATTAAAATGTACTCGAAATATTTCTTTTTTTCTAATTTGATTGAGAATTGATCTGAATAATTTTTTTTTTCTTTAAGTTTCTGCATGTAGTAATTTAGATATCTGCTTTTTCACTTTTGTGAATAATATATCAATTTTAGGAAATGTTGAATTAATAATGCAGTTATGCAAAATACATATAGTAATTTCCTGTTTAAAAATGAACATGATTTATCTTATATAGGTGAGGTACCGTGAAAGAATAACTATTCTACGTGGTAATCATGAATCAAGACAGATTACGCAAGTGTATGGGTTTTATGATGAATGTCTGCGTAAATACGGAAATGCCAACGTTTGGAAGTTCTTTACGGACTTATTCGACTTTTTGCCCCTGACGGCACTGGTCGACGGCCAGATATTCTGCCTTCATGGTGGTCTTTCACCCTCGATTGATACCCTGGATCACATTCGTGCCCTAGACCGCCTTCAGGAGGTTCCTCATGAGGTAATTCTACTGGCATGATTGAACACCAGGGTTGAAAAAATCTATTTTTACTTTTAACTGCTGTTACAATATTGTTATATTTTTTTAATTGATTATACCTTAAGTTTAATTGTGTGATTTACATTATGCATGTTCTATTGGGAAGTAACGTGTGGTATTATGTAGAATGTTCATCTGATACAAAATTTCATTCATAGGGACCTATGTGTGATCTTTTATGGTCTGACCCTGATGATAGAGGAGGGTGGGGAATTTCTCCTCGTGGTGCGGGCTATACCTTTGGCCAAGATATTTCTGAAACATTTAATCACTCCAATGGCTTGACGCTTGTATCTCGAGCCCATCAATTAGTTATGGAGGGTTATAATTGGTACGTAGATTTTACAAAATACAATAGTTGTTCCAAGGTTCAAGAGAAATCAAAATGTTAACATAATTGGAAAATTATTGTCCCTTTGCTGCTCCAGTTATTGATTAACTTTATTTTTCAGGTGTCATGATCGCAATGTAGTAACTATATTCTCAGCACCCAATTATTGCTATCGCTGTGGGAATCAAGCTGCGATTATGGAACTGGATGATGCATTGAAATATTCATTGTAAGTATTAGTCGAGCACTTGAGTACACAAGCTATAAACTTATACTATAAGATCCAATTTTTTTTTTCCAGCCTTCAGTTTGACCCAGCACCAAGGCGTGGAGAACCACACGTCACTAGACGGACGCCAGATTACTTCCTGTAAGCTCTTGGAAGTAGTGGTTAAGGTAGGGGAACGGAACGATGCTGGCTTTATAGCGATGCCACATAACATAACCTGTAATAGAACATCGGTACGAGTGTAAGGCCCCAAGCTGTTCTTACACGCCTTATATAGTATCAAGTATTATACCATGGCTCACTTTACGATGTCTCGCTGGGAGACGAAGCGCGCTCGCATACAAACCATACATTCTGACACGACCACACTTGTACACACAATTGAAGTAATGTACTTATGTACCGATTAAATTCATCAAAAGCATTCAGTTTTACATCTTTTGGTAAGTCAGTTATATTTTTACCACGAAACGTATAGGAACAGGTTTGAATGTGATCGTTACTGTAAACAAAATGTTCTGAAGGGCGAACGCTAACTTATTGTAAGTTGTCTGTCAAACCAAGAATTAAATCATCAAACGATCTTGAGGAAAAAGTTACGTTTTCCAATGTGTCGGGATTCACGTATAAAAGTTATAATTTGTAATCGGAGGTGTGTCACATTACGGCTGTTTGAATAGAACATGAAATGTTCCACTTAGAGGTCGTACGAGAAGGGTTGATGCAATAGTGAGTTGGCCAACATGCGGAAACTCAAAGCATTTAAGAACAGAAATATTATTTCCTCATGCTCATCCGTGTCTAGAGTGAAAATAAGATTTCTGAGAAGGCACACTTGCAAGCAACTCTGACTCTACGTAGTAATTTATAACAACGATGGGTCCATGATAAAATTTCTGATTAATTTCATTCGTGCATATAAGATTATACCGTAAGATACTTACAAAGTATTTGCAAATCTTTATATTACTTTCTGTGTTCCAGCTTGTTCAATAACTTGATTTAATATATCAGTTCTCGTACAAAAGAGTGGAACTTTTCCTTTCCGTTTCCTGTTTCCTATTGTTCTGTTCTTCGATCGAAGAATTAAGTACATAGCCTATCGTCAGTAGAAGTCTATCGATGTCCACATCATGCAACCAATGTATATACCTTCAAAGAATGTGTACTCGAAAGCCTACTTTTATATGCACGAATATCAGATTCTAGTAATAATCAGCCATTTTTTTAAAGGAGATTACACTCTTGCATCAAACCTTGAGAATTAATGCGAAACACGCAAATGATATATAAACTCACCGTTATGGAAATTGAAAATGATTTACGCGTGACGACATCGATGATCTTTTTACTAATTAATATAATAAAATGATGCTTCTGGTAAATAAAAGTATGTAATGCAAGCCAAATGAACCTACGTGTTGTGTCAAATCATTCGTACTCGTTGGTTCGACTATCTTGTGTACATGAACATCCGAAAATATAGAGATGTATTCGTAGAAATAAGCATGAAATTGAATATATGCATAATGAGTAACTAAAGTAGTGCTCCTAGAATGGTGGCTTTCATATAATTATTATACAAAGTTGAGGCGAACGTGAAATCAGTAGATGCACTTTCTAGTAATTTGTTAAGACTGTAAATCTAAAGCGTAGCACGGAAATCGAATGTCCCAAGTATCGCATCTCCATTCTGCACGATGCAGGCTGAGCATTTTCTTACTTTATATTACTCTACAAACGTACTTGCTGAATTATACTAATATAAGAATAAAATTTCCTAGACAGGAGGAAAAAAAACAACTCGTAGTATTATTATACGGTTGGATGAGTTAATAGCCGTACCTCTTATACATACATTAATTGAATAATAGATTCTAGAAATTGTATAGATCATTTTGTATTTGCACCATTTATTGTCTGTTTCGACATATTCATGCCATAAACAATCTTCGAAAAATCAGCCAAACCTGTAAACAGATACTTTTGTTGTACATCTTCGTGACGCGTATTTCAAAATATGTTTATGATTTTTACATTCATTAAAGACGTGTATCCAAAAATATTTAATTAATGTGTCGAATCCTGGTGTTAAAGAGTCATTCTTTATTCCACTTTTGCTTAAAAACGTTCGTTACAAATGTACAAGATGTAGAATTAGTGAATACGCACAAATTATTTTATTTAATTAGTGATGAAGTCCGAAATAACACTAATGGGATTTCGTGCTTAATATCCGCATGTTCTCTGAAACGAGGAGTGGACATTCTCAGACTACAGTTATGCAATTTTAAGTATTATCCTTGTGCGTGTACACGAGTTTTGTTGTTTTAGCCTGCACGTACAAATTTCACTAGAGTTTTATTAAAACCATCTCTTAAAATTTGTCCATTTAGTCAAAATTCATGATGGCGTAATAAATGCCAAGAAGTTGAAATTACAATACTTATTTGCCACAGGAATTATTCATAGTAAAAGTGATGTATTTAGGCAATTGTTGGCATCATTTTCGTATTTTTATTATTTACTTTCATGTTCATTCATAATTAAGAAAATAAATAAAAAGTACAAAAATGCCCAGAATACACTTTAGTTTCATTAATTGAGAAATGTTACAAATGTGTGAAATACATTTTTTTTTTTTAATAAATTTACACCTTCACGTACACAGCAATTACTATCTTACGTTTTTGCGTGATAAATATTCCGCCGTTCATAAGGAGAATAAATGTGAAGCTTAAAAATAATTATAGTTACTTTGCAGTTACCTAATGGGTACACAAGTCCTAATTGTCAATATCATAATCCAAGTTAACTTGCAAAAGTTTTGTTGTTACTAATTTCATTTTTATTCCTTGAAACCCGAACCATTTGTAATATTTTACGTAACTTCAAAATTTATTTATACATATACATATGTTTCTTACCCATGTGCTTAAAGAATACATGCAATTACAACATATGAAATATTTTTACATCGATAGACTTAAATGAAAATGTATAAAAATACTTATGCTATTGTCTTTTGTCTCAGGAGTGAACACACTTCAGCACGTTACATTTTATTTTTAAATTAATATTCACCTATGAATGATCAATATTTGTACTCTAAATTGAATTTACATACACTAAAATTCGACATTCAATGTAATCATATTATTTTCTCATTTTTATGAAATGTTATGTGTAACAAGATGTTTACAAAAGTAATATTTATTTTTAGAGTGTACATTTTCATTGTCATTTTGATGGATACATCTTTTTATTCCGTCTTTATATATCGTACACACATTTATAAACCTTGTGCTTCTGACGCTCCTTTTACAAATTCCTGGCATACTGATTACATCAGTAATTGTCATTAAAATTTAACAGTCACTCTCGTTATTCATTGGTAACATTTTGATTTTTGTTCTGCTTAAAAGTAAGTATAATTGTTGAAATTAAAGTAATGAGTTTAGTACTCTTGCATCATTGATTAAATAGATACTACTAAATTTATGACAATTGAACTAGTCAGCAGATACAAAATTTAATGTCACAGTCAATTTGTGATTGCTTTTGAAGCATACACCAGTTTTAGTTCTTCCCTTCCTACCTGTTACTTAATTAAGTTTATCAAAATTTTTAGAATTTCGTGTATTAATTTCTAATCAATTTCTTATCTAGCATTACTAGCTATAGTTTTTGTCTATTGGTAACTATTTCACGAACTATTGTTAAACCGATATGCCTGTATCTAAATTCAATAACTGTTTCATAATTTCATACGTTGTAAAACTAACTGCTACCATTGGAACAGCTCGTACATAATTTACACTCATTCCACGAAACAGGCCTTTTATAAAACCATTTTCATTGCGGATTATTCCTAACGTTGACATCATACTAGAACTGCAAAATACGTTATTATTACTTTAACAATATTTTCAAACAACAGGAAAAAAGGTTAAACAGTCTGATGTTAAAATCGATAAAGCATATATCATTGAGTTTACCCGTATTTGTGAGTGTCTGGATTCATCATGGCTAATTGCATTCGTCTTCTGGTAACATCAAGAGGATAAGAAAACGTTTGTGCAACCGCACCAGCAAATCCTCCACAAAGAAATTTAGCTGGCAGGGATAAAACGAGTCCACCTAAATTATAAATATAGAAAATCATTCAGTCATGCTATTAAGAATAACAGTCAGCTGTTTTTAATCATTGTACAAACCAGTGTTTTTGTCGCATTTATTGCAGAGGTACTGTGGTGCATATTTCATGCTCAGATATTTTAATTTTTCAAAAACATAAAACGAGAGACCTGCGTAAGGCATCATGCCCATAATTGTTGGCACAAATCCTCTGTATAGGGCTCTGATTCCTCCTTCCTGATAGGAGACCGTTGCAGAAATGTAGTCGTTTTTACCACTAATTTAAATGGTACCCTTTCATGTTAAGTATTGACCTCACCTCTTTAAAAATAGAAGCTGCAGCATGAGCTATTCCAGAATAAACATGTTCTCCAGTTACTTGAAAAGCTAAGCGAGCTCTGATAATATCAAGTGGGTAGGTAAAGGTAACTGCCGTGACGCCTGCACATGATCCAGCTAAGAATTTGTCTATGTGTGAACGTTTCTCAAATAGATCTCCTAAACACTGTCAAAGATTATTACAACCTGAACATTATTAGAAACCTTACATTTGTGGTCTTTATCACAAAAATATATATGTGTATGATTTTTATCTTTAACAGAATATACAATTAAAAAAAATGCCATTTGTTCATGTTACATAAAATCTTATTCTCGATATAATTTATGCAATAGAAGGCACTAACTTTACTATAAAATTCAAATGATGTGAACTGTAGAGCTCCATATGGAAATATCCTGACCATCTGTGCTCCATTTCCTTTGTACAATGCAAAAAAAGTCTCTCGTTTTATAATTTCCTGTAATCCTGAGAATACACCTGGAAAACAGATTTTACATTCTCGCTTGCATTTCATAGAATTTCAGTACGTCAAAAGCAGGTCGTTTGTTACCTAAATGTTTGTAATGTCTGTTGTGAGCTTGGAGCAGTATTTTTATCCTATCAAGAGGAGCCACTGACGTTTTTGAACACATTCCAGCAATACCTATGACAGCATATAAAACATGAGGATTCTAAAACATTAAATGCACGCAATAAATCACGTAAGTCAGTGAAATATTGCATTGGCTCGAGGGAGCAAATGAAACTCGTAACATGTTTAGACTACAGTAGCATACAAATATCAGACATTGCATTATATCACGTACACGCAAATAGGTGTTCGCATATACTCTTTCTTGTTTTTCTGTACGCTTTCATAATCTCAGTCCATAGGTCAGACATACCTCCGGCGAAGAAAGTCTTGACTGCAAATTCCAATTTTCTTTCCTCAGCTCGACCAGCATGTAGTGACATTATTCCTCCTTCTATGAAACCGTTTCAGACAGAGATTTGCGAGTAAATTCAGTGATTGGGGAGCAACAAATAACGCTAGATAAATCTGTCGAGGAAGATGAATCCAAGACCGCCAGGAGAACACTGACCTGTGGAAAACGCTCGCGGCTGTAAAAAGGTCAGCGACCTTGACCGACGTTTCTTTACGTGTCGAGAGAGTTAAAGGTTGAGTTAAAATTCCCTCGTCCGTTCGTGCAAGTGACAATCTACTTCTTGGAGCCCCCACTCAACGGTCCAACTGATCTCTCCGACAGCCGCCGACAGCAATCAACGACTCGACGCATCCGGCCCCGCTCGTTCCCAACGACATCAGCCGAAACTGCATGAATATTGCAAATGCGAGACCGATCACCTGTCATGCATCTAACTCTCGGCCGCTGAAGCCGCAGAACACTGTTAAATACAGCCGACTACAGTTGACACGTGCTCAAGCACGCTGTCCCGTCGAACTTTCACATTTTTCTGTGATAAGTAAAGCGTGTCAAACAAAATGGAGACTGGAAAAAAGTCTAGTGACGCCATATTGAATCGTTGAACCAAATTACATTAGCAAGTATAATATGTGTTTTTCAGGTATCTGTTACAAATGGAACATTAAGGAGCGATTAGTAACATTATTCAGATTTATTTAACTCATGCACGTTCGGTAAACACGATGCCGGTAAGAAAAATCCATTTACTTGATAAACGCTAATGACGATTTGAAAAAAGCGCCGTTGGAGAAGGAGCTTCTCATTGGTCGACGGCTTGTCGGAAATGGTCGACGAATTCCGAAATTGTGCGATCTCTGAACGTAAACTGAAACACAATCGGCAACAGAGTCAGAGACAGAGATGAGTTGGGAGATTGCTCACGGGCAGGGTCGCGCGATCGCACCGTGTGCTGCCCTCTGATTTCGTACGTTAGCTTTCACCGTTTTTTGCCCCCAAGGGCGGCGCAACGAATTTCTGGTAGGGGCCCGCGCAATCGCGATGGCTGTGCCATCTACCA